AATAAAACAAAAAAATTAAATAGTCATATAGTAATTTGTTTTCAGGAGTCAATTGTAATAAAAAAAAAAAATCCTGTTTTTTTTTTTGGTTGTCTTTTAAATATAACAAAAACAGTTATATAATTGGGGTTAACTTTTTTAATTTTATCTGAAGGCTATGGAAGAACTTGAAAATTGATTTCATATATATTTATAATTGTTCTTATTTTGGCACTACACTTTAGTAATAAACAGCTTTTGTCTTTATGTGATTTTAAATTCATTGGTACTCACTATTGTGCATCAACAGGAAATGCTGAAAATTTTAAATTTAAGACTCAAAACCCAACCCACACCCCGAATGTGTCTGAACCAAAAAGTATGAGAAAAAAAAAATTGTTCTCTCAAATCTTAAAAAAAAAAAATTTAGTCTAATGAAGTTACACAAAACTCTAACCACTCATTTCTTGGCCTTTGTTCTGATATATAGAAATTTATCATATTCTCACAAATTGTGTGTGCGCGTGTTAAATTGACTTACTTTCTTTGTATCACTTATAAAGTAAATAAAAATTCTGTCTTCAGTTAGCTGTTTCAATCTTATATACTGATTTATAAGCTCAACAATGCACTAAGTAAAATTAATCTCCAGTATAAAAAAAAAAAAAAAAACCCTTTCTGTATAACACAAATCATTTATAATCAATAAATGCCGATTTCAAATATAACCAGTTTAAAGATTAAGCTTTCTTTCTTTTCTAAAATACATTTGTATATCGTTTTTAATTTCACACTTGAGTAATATATTAAATGGAAATGAAATTTTTTAAAGTTCTATGATTTTAAAATGTCAGTTTTCTTTCACCTGTCAAAAAGAAAAAAAAAATTGAGATCACCAAGAAAGAATACAAAAAGTTATGTTCTGGAATTAAAAAAAAAAAAAGAAAAAAATTAGCAAAACCGCGAAATCTAGTTTCTGATTTTAAAACATTATGCACATTAGTAATGTAATTTTCAAATTGTCTTGATCACTATTTCAAAATAATATTAATGTAATCTTGACACAAAAATTAAGTGATTTTAAAGTATAATAAAAAAAATGTAAAAACAGTAAATTAAGCGATTTTAAATTATAAGAAAGAAAAGTGAACAAAAGTAACCATACATGCAACTATATCACTTCATTAGATGTTAAGTCTTAATTAAAACAGTGCGGTGTGCAAAATTCTATGAATACATTGAGTTCTATTCAACTATTTAAAAACTGTTTAATAGTCTCGCAAACTTGATTTTCTTTTCTTGAACAATACCAAAGAATGTTAAGGACTTAGATTAAAAGTATCAATCATTTATAGATGAACTGTGGGTACATTGGTTAGCCAAAAAAAAAAAAAAAACAAAAACATGACCAACTGCAATGAATAATATACATGTGATTAAAACTGTGTGTGTGTGTGTGTATGTATATATTTTTTTTTTTTACAAAACAAAAAAAATCTATTATCCTCAATAAAAACATGTAAACTTACTGAGTTTGTGTTTAAAGGTAAGCAGGTTTTTGTAATGAAAATATGAAAAAAAAAGTCGATAATGAAAAAGTTCAAAGATTTACAGATAGACTACAGAAGTTTAGTCCTTTGAACTCCCCCACCCCACCAAAATGTACTCACTTTTTGACTTTGTTAGTCTGAATATTTATAAATATGTATTTAATTTCATTTAATTTAAACCATTAATCTTTGTAAGTCAATAAACATTAAAATTTCTTAAAATTAACCATTAATCTTGTTTGCAAATCAAACATTTATTTTTAAAGAGTACATTTTTGGGACACTGTGTGTGAGAGAGAGTGAGTCACATTTTATTACTTGCCTCTTTATTGATAAAAAGGCTGTGGCTGAATATTGAATATCATTTTCTTCTGTGTCTGTCAAAAAAAAAAAAATCCTGACAATTTCTGTCACTGCTATCAACAATGTAAAAGAAAAAACATCAAGAAATTCCTGCTTGGCATAAAGAATTGATGACAGCAATGATAAATTTTTTTTTTTTTTTTTTTTTTAAAACAAATTACTTTCATTGCTCATAAATACTAATATACAAAATCCACATTGATGAAGTTTTAATAAGAGTAGAAAACATTTTTGAATAACACAAGCAAAAGTGATTTGTTGGTTGCCCTTATTGTGAAGTCTACGATCAACACGCCTTACGCCATTTTCAATGCATTTCATGCTTCCACTGTCATATTTTACACTTATTAAAATTCAGCAAAATTGGATTGCATTTTTTTTTTTTTTTTTAATTCCCTATGATTATAAAGAAATTTTAAATGGAGATATTCACAATATGATACATGTAAACAAGTCATTTTTTATGTTTTTGTATCAAAGTAGATTCAAAATTGTTTGGAGTCAACTTTGGTTTGATGATTTTATTTTATTATAGCAACAGAAAGTAGAAAAAAAAAAATGGTTTGAAGAGAAACAAAAAAAGAATAGATGGTAAGGGCTCGGTGAAAAGACAGATGAAGGAGGGAGGACTAAATTTCTCCCCTTCTAAACAAAAAAAAAAAAAAAAAAAAAAAAAAATCCTCCCTCCATCCCATTATTTTTTTTTTCCTTTCAAATTGTACAAAATATATTTTTCCTTTCGTTTTCCAGTGATTTGTAAAAACGAGAAGAGAAAGTTCCAATGAATGACAATAAAAATGGACTGATGGTAGTATTTTTTTCTTTTGTTGCCATAATTGTTTTCAATGGAGTGACAATGAAAAAAAAAAAAAAGTCAAAATTATTGAGAAGGTATTGGCAGGTTCCATGGCCCAATAATGCATTCTTAGGCAGGTAAACATCGACAAATCAACCTGATTGGTCAGCTACTGATCAGTAATAATTGTTGCTTTTAGTGGTCATGGTGTTATCAGGTTTATCTCCAGTTGGCCATCAACAACAGCCACAGAATAAGAAAAAGAAAATGTTTTCTTTGTCTGTAAACAGCAAATTGTAGAGAAAAGTTCAGGCTTGCAGCTTCGATGGATTAAGATAAATGTAAAAGTGATATTGTGAAGAGACAGCAGGATGAGTCCTCAGGTAGGAGATTACAGCTGTCTGATGTATAATTGTGTGTGTGTGTGTGTGTGTGTGTGTGTGTGTGTGTGTGTGTGTGAAAAAAAAAAAAAAAAAAAGGAAAACTCCTGTGTTACACAGTTCATCCTATGCAAGGACTTCTCCAGACTAATAATGGTTCTATCATTTATCTATGCCTTATATAAGTGGGAGAACAATAGCAGAAACATTTCTCTATGTAAAAAGTAACTTGTGTTGTATCACCACCCACACCATGTTTTTATCAATTTATGTACTCTCAATTTGAAAATCATGCAGTTTTATCACTTTTGTATATTATAATTGATTTCATTAGGTAATATGAGAAATTCATTTTTTGAGAGAGGCAACACTTTGTATGAACATTGGCCATAAAAGAAAAAAAAAGAAAGCCGACTAATTGAAGAAATAAAAATTAGTTGTAGATTTATAAATCACATATCAAATATCAGAAAATATGAAAGATTCCAAAATGATTAAAAACACCTAGGTTTTTAAGCTAAAAATACTAAGAGTATTTTTTTTTCTTTTACTGGAATTTATAATATTCTGTTCAGGAATGAATTACACAGCAGAAAGCTGATGCTGATGAATCTTTTTGTTTTTGTCTTGTTCTGTGAACAGAATACAAAAATGCTTAATGTTTTCTTCTAACAAATTCCCAAGAGTTCTGATTAGGCTACAATGGCAAGAACTAATTATTGGTCAAGAATCTTTTGTTTTTCTTTTTATCACATAAACTCAATGAAATGGAGAACATGCCAATCAGAATCAGTTGTAATGGGGAAAAGAAAAAAAACTAGATGTATGCAAAAATTTCCAGAAAGACAAAAAAAAAAAAAAAAAAAGACTGGAAATTCTTATACACAATATTTTAAGTGAAAGCATGTATCAATTTAGGAAATAGTGGTTCCATCCATTGCCAATAACTTTAGTCATTGGTTATTTATCCACCTATTTAACAAACACTAGATGACTATATATTTGTAATTCTTCAAAATTAGATTTTGAGCAAATTTTGCATCTCACTGACAAGGTTTATTTTAAGATTCAGCTTGTACTGATATCACTTTTTATCCCACCACTCCCCGCGAAACCTTACCTAGAAGATAAATTGCATATGCAAGTAATACAATATGTTATTTTCATTGATGAAATAAAACTATACAAACAGCAATTGTTTGTATCGTATGCATACCCTTGAGGCTTGCAGTGCTTATTCTTCACAAAGACAGATTTTTTTTCTTTTAATTTTACAAGCATTAAACAAGTCTTCTGCTGAACTGAAAGGGTATAAAAAAAAAAAAAAAAACAACTTTAAAAATCTGAAGGTAATATGAAGTATTAAAGAATAAACAATTAGAAACAGCAATACTTCACACCCACCTCATTATGTAAACGTGCTTGTGTGTGTGTGTGTATATATATAAATATATATATATATATATATATATATACACACACATCCCCATACTTCAACTGTTCTATGAGACACACATAAGTGCTAACAGTCTTTTATCACCTATGAGTGAAAGCTAAGTTTTGTATGTTACAATGCAATGGATGGACACATATATATAACTATCCTGTGTGTGCGCGCTATATTTCCCTATCCCCTTTGCCATACAGAGAAAACACTAATCTTTGTAAATATGAGAAGTGTGTAAAGATCTGTATACATATACACATATAGCTATGTCTGTCACTATGTACCCGTGTTGTGTGTGTATATATCTCCACCCACCAATGCTGCCTCTCTTGTAGGCAAACCACCTACTCTTTTATCTATCCATCGAATTAGTAATTGCTAAGCTGCATAGCCTTTGTCAGAGGGGGAAAAAAAAAGAAGAGAGAGAGAGAGAAAAAGATGATGATGATTGATGACAAAGACGATAACAACAACATTCTGATGAACTAATCGCTGCTGTCAGTGAGCTTGGGTCGCTTCACAGACTGTTCACTTTCATCACTGTCCTTTTTGTCTGTGGAGTCTGTGGATGTTTCCAGCTGATCTGAGCTTCGCTTGCTGCTGCCTGCAGAACGGTGTTGAAGGTCAATAATAAGACAAGTCATGTTGTCACAACCCGTGCCATCACCCATTGTGTTTGGAGCCAAACAATAGTCAAAGATCTATCAAAAAAGAAAAAAAAAAAATATTACCTTGTGTATAATTTCTCACACAATATAATGTTGGATTATATAAATGACAAAACTGTTTTGTAGGCTGGATGGTTTTTTGCTCCCTCAAATTTACGTAAATTGCTGTGGCTTTTTACTAAGAAAGAGAGGCACTATCTTGCTATTTAACCTATAGCTAAAGTAGGGGGTTGTGATAGTTTGGGAGGAAGAAGAGATAGTTTTACGAATTCCCTAAGAAGATTAGCACAATATGAACACAGACTAGGCTGGAAGTTACTTGCTGACATCACATTGGCTTTCACACCTGGAATCTTTCATGGGTCTGTCCTAGTACCTACCGTGGTTACTATGGGTGATAGGGAATCAGCATTAAAATTCCAGAGAGGGGGCATACAAAACAGCTATCACATCCAAGAAAGGCAGCAGGCATGCAAATTATTTACTCCCAGCATGGGAGAGTTGGGGCTAGTGACATAAAATAATAATATAGGGCTGGTTAGACACCATGATTGGAATGTATATACTTCAAATCTATTAACGATAACAAACCATAGGGCCTGTTCAGTGCCAGCCAGGGTAAGTCCAGAATTTTCCAAAAAGAATACCCTCCATACTTTTCAAAGAGTTTACTCGATAACTGAAGAAATTTTGTTTAAGAGTTCTTTCCTTCATTTTATGAAACCCCCTATACTTAATGTAATTCAATTAAAAAAAGTCGAATATCCTGCAGAATTTCTTACTAAAAGTAAACCCCTGTTCAATATATTATTAGTCAAAAAAAAAAAAAAAACACACACACAAACAAGGAGCAAGAGAACCCAATGTCCCACCTCATTTAGAGCAAATGGGGAGGGGCTGCTATCAATATGGATCTTCATAAAACAAAAAACCTTTTTTTTTTTCAATATTGTTCTCTGCTTTATGCAAAGTAAAGACTGTATGTTGAATTATTTCTGGAAATGTTTACCTTTAAATTCTGCCCTTGCATTAATGAAAGTATTTATTTTGATCTTTTAGTGCTCAATGTTCTACTAATGGAACATATTTTATTACATGCCTAGGCATTAAAAGGTTAATAATAAAAAAATATTTGTGCATAAGTATTTTTATAACTTTTTATTATAAGGCTTAGGTCATTTTTTCTTCTTACATTCTATAACCATTAAGCAAGCATCATGGGACAGATCTACAACTAAATTTGATTGACATTTGATGGGTAGCTTAATAAGAATAGTTTTTAAAGATGAAGAATGAGTTGTTAAATCTCATCAGAAGTTTATTTCTTTATTTCTCACCATTATTTACTTGTGCAGCATTTTGCTAAAAAGTAACAAAAAAATAAAATGGGAAAGAAAGCCAAATATTCCAAACTTACCTCTTCACAAATCAAAGACAACTTGGCTTGTTTAACAGGATCTTTCAGACGTTCTCGTATAAAGTCAACAACTTCTTGACTAGACATGAAATTCCTAAAAAAAAAAAAAAAAAAAAAAAAAAAAGAAAGATTGTGTTTAGAGAAAATTCTCATAAATAAATGAGGAATTCAAAAAAGAGAGAAAAAAAAAATTAAATGTCTATATCAATACAGGAATTTATACTAAGAGGGAAGTTATTTTTTTTTTCTGGAAAGTCTTCTTGGCCAGACAAAGAAGTTCTCAGCACCTATGTTAATTTAAAGTGTCTATAAAATTTATACTTCAGTTGAGAAATTAAATATCATAGAAGAATACTGTTGATATGATTCTAAGTATCAGATAAAATTTAATTAGATTCCAGATAAGTTTTATAAAAAAAATTTAAAAATAATCAGGCTTTCACTTAGACAAGCATTTACTAATAAAATACTAACGAACATTTCTTAAAACAATGAAATGATTAAAATTGTGTGTGTGTACAAACCAAGGTTTGTTATTTTCATATGATCCCATGATTTTATTGTTACAAAATGTTACATTTAATTTAATTAATTTCAAGAAAGCAGACAAATGAAGGTCATACAGTAGATGGAAAAGTATGGAACCTGGCAAAATCATTTTTACATTCAATTTTACAGCTAAATACTTGAAATATTTGGGGGAACTTATTTCCATCATACACAAAATTTACATAAAAGCTGTAATTTGTACTGATAGGATGAAAATAATGTTTATTTCATAAAACCTAATTGTAATTGTCTTAAATGCCTATTTAAGAGATTCATACCGAGAATAGAAAAAACAAAGAGCAAGAGCCGCAGAAAAGAAAAAAAAAAAAAAAAATACCATATTCCATCACAAGCAAGAACCAAGAACTCATCTTCGTCATCTATAGTTCGACTCTGGATGTCAGGTAATGCTGTGATCATTTGTTCCTCAGGCGGTAAATCTGCATTTTGTTTATATGAATGATCGCCTACAAAGTAAAGAAAAGCAGAAAATATTTCAAGCATTACCAATTTCTAACAAAGTCACAGAGAAAGAGAAAAAAAAGGGGGAGGGGAAGAGAGCCACATTTTAAACATTTTGTTATTGGAACATATCAAAATACAGAATATAGGACAAAGAAAGGGGAAGGAGGAGGGAGAGAGAGAGAGAGAGAAAAAAAAAAAAACAGAAAGCAAATACTCAAGAGATCATACCAATGGCTCTAGATAAATTCAGTCCTCCATTGACACGTCCATCACCAGTCACTTTGCCACCAGCTGCTTCAATCCGTTGTTTCTCTTCTTCATCCTCTGGTTTATGGTCAATGGATAAGTCAACAGCTTTGCCTTCATGACACAACACACAACGAGAATCTCCTGCATTGGCTACTACAAGTTCCCGGTCTCTCAGCAAGGCAACTACAGCAGTGCACCCACTGTCCATCCCAGGCTGGAAACAGATAAATTTTAAATCAAAATAACAAATTAAAACATTTAATTAAAAAAAAAGATAATTGATTAATACAGGATATTGCTTGGCACAGAGAGTGGAATGAGAACATCACAGAATACGATCAACATTTAAAGACCAGAAGAAAAAAAAAAAAGGACAACACTACTTAAAATGAATGATTGAAAAAGTAAAAATACAATTAGGTTTCATTTCTATCTATATACAATGTAATAACCTGTATGCATATGTGTTAGTAATAGGCGGTGATGTCAAATTTCTGTTTCCTGTAAACAAGCATTTCAGAGATCACATTTTTGGATCGAGAAAACATAGTTGTAAAATAATTAATTATAAAGTAATGAATAGCCATATCATAATGATCCGATCTCTGAATGTTTGCTTGTCATTACAGCACAGCATGTTGTAGTACAATTTTTATTATAAAATTTTAACAGTATTGCACTAATTTGGAAGATAAAACAATTTCTAGACATTAGTTATTTACAAATAACGTCTAACTTGATTCCAGGTTTATTAATTTCCATTTAGTCATTTCTTTAAATTTTCTTATTAAGAAAATAAAAGGTATAATCAGAGAAGAATCCTTAACCACCTTTATCTCCAACAGCAAGTGGTATAGAATATACAATACTATAATAATTAAGCTTAGTGATAATTAACATTTGCAAATAATTACAACTATTATTTATATAGGAAGTGGAGTTTGCTAAAAGCAGCAATTGAGCAAGTTATTCTATAACATACTGTACCAGAGACTGACTGATTAACTTTAAATCTCTCTCTCAATCCTGCTTTGTCACATGGGGTGTTTTTTTTTTACCCCAAAACTTTTAAAGTTCTTGTAATTCTGAGTTGACAACTTGTTTCTCTTACACTTTCCTACTACTCTCATCACTCAATGAGGGAGTGTAGCATATGGTGTAGCACAGTTGTTGTGGGAGGGAGACACTGCTTTGTCTACTGTTGTTCTGTTACCCCACCAAACAAAGGTAAGTTTTCATGATATCTGAGTTTAGCTAATGTAATATCTTTCTATTAATGGAAATATACTGTGGCTATTTTTGATGAATAAAACCTTTCTCTATTATTGTATTGGTGTGTTTTACTTATAATTTACATCATATATTTATGCAAGAAATTTATTAAAACTTTCATTTCAATGAATAATTATATCTTCAGTTCAAGTTTTGATTTAATGTATATTGTAATGTTATTTTTTTCAGCAGTATGACAATTTTACATAATTGTAATACCATAAGAATTTTTGTATTAGAGTGTGTAAACACCCCAGGGAACTATCCATTTTTGAAAATCCGATGCAACTAACACAGGATTAAGCAATTTACCCCACATAGCTATCAGCTACAAAAAAAAAAAAAAAAAAAGGCAGCCAGCGTATCCAAATATAGGTGGTTTGGCTTATTTTATGGCATATCAACTTCAATGGGTTAGTTAATGCTGACAAAATTTTTATTGCTGGTATATATATATATATATATATATATATATATATATATATATATATATAATAATATGTTAGCTCTATCTCTGATATTGAGTGCTTTCTAATAAGTACCTTTTACATATATATATATATATATATATATATATATATATATATATATATATATATAAACAAAACAAACCAAACCAAAAAAAAAAAAAAATTAAATTGCCAAACAAACCACCTATATTTCCATACACTAGCTGCCTTTTTTCCCTTTTTAACACACAAAGTATTTCTAACATTAAAACTTATTTTTACATTTTCATAGTGCTTTGACCCCACTTTGGGGATTAAATATTTGCCCATATCTGGGACCCTAACAGGTGCTACCACCCTAGGTCAGAGTGGACCTGGGAACACCAGAAATTAAGAGATGATTCCACGCTCCTCAAAACCTCCTGATCAGAAGCCTTGCTGTTGGTTATAGTTTATCATCTTACTCAGGATACTGGCAATTTTTAGCACATGTACAAGTAAAAAATACTGTTTCAAAAAGGACATCTTTACTCTTGATACTGCTATTATTGTATACTCTATCAACAATTTTAAGTTATTTTTAGAATTTTAAAACTTAAACATATCTAACTGGATTTATACAGTTTTTGCTTGAGAATTCACAACAAAAGTATTAAACACTATTGTCTGAAATTCTGGGATGCTGATTTTCTAAGCATAGTTTGGATGTGGCTCAAATCCACTTCTTGGTCATAATTGTTATAGCAAGACAAGCCCACTAAACATTACACAATGTTGAGGTGCCCTTGTAATTCTGGGAGGAGGAGTTATTATTTACACTACTTATAGAACACAAATTTTTATTCATAAATTTATAAAAATGTCTGATGAAAATTTAAACAAACACACAATAAGTAACTGCAATTATAACAAGCATCGCTGCATAAATTAAACAATATTATTAAGCAGCCAAATATGGAAGCCCCATTAGGAGCAAAATATAATTTAACTTTCCAGACAGAAATTTCAAAATAATACTAGAAGACAGAAAAGTAACTTTCCAAACCAAAATATTTTGGCAAATGTACACCTTGCACGTAATCAAAGTTAAATGTGGAAATAGTGAATGTATATATGAATCAACACACCTCATCACTTTCTTTTATCATGTTATGGTGATCATAGTCATCATCTTCATCACATTCGTCTTCTTCATCCTCATCATCCTCATCTTTAAATGAATTTTCATCACTGCTGTCACTATATAAAAAAAAAGAAATTAATGCTCAAGTACAAATTTTAATATTGCTTTACAATAGCAGAATATACTTAAATTAATAATCATTCATGACTACATTACTACTTTATAATTTTATAGTAACTATAAATGATAGTAGTATTATCATGAATAGGTATTTCTACATGCGATCAAAATCTACCATCCTTGCACTTAATCTTTATATAATAATGTGATCTTCATATAATAATGTGAAGTTAGATTTCAATTTTAAAATTGTTTCATTTTCAATGATTGTGTAGATATAAACAGAGATGCCATAAAGTATATGACTTTTGGGGAATTTTCACAGGTGCTCAAGTGCAAGTTCTATGGTCACAGAATGACCATAGAACTTGCACTGAGCTCATTTATTCATTAAATATTATGATTTAATTAGAAAAATTCAGACAGGAAAAAATAAAGTTTTACAATTACTATTAGCAAGATTTATTAGTGTATTTTAATTGTAGAATAAATATGATGAATAGATGAAGTGAATGCATAATGTGAATTTACATAATTTGCAAATATTTGGATCTTATATTCTTATTGGTTTTAAAATATACATACATAGATGGAAACACACACACTGAGGAGAGACATAGAACATAATAGAAAATGGCCTGTTTGATAGGTTAGTTGTTTTGGATTCAAATAAATTGAAAATAGTCATTAGAAATTCTTTTTATTTGAATCTAAAACAACTAACCCATCAAACGGGCCATTTGTAAGTTTAGTACAACACCTTTTACTTTTCATTTTCCTTTGTGCCCATAAGTTAAGCTTTGTAAATATTATATTCTATTTCTGCACACTGTACTTCTATATGAGTGTTTATAAAAGATATACTGTTGCTTATAATTAAAGAAACAAGATAGATGCTTCTTTTGGTATTTGCTCTCAAGTAAATGCTGTGTCTGATTAGTAGCACTGAACCTGATGGACATTAAAAGGATCATGGGTCATATTTTTTTTTTTATTTATTATATATTAAGGAGACTAAGCAAAATTATGTAAATTCATTCAGCAATTCTTAGTTTAAACCTGGGCAAGATTTGTCTAGAATATATCCAGCCATTTCAAATATCTAGAAAACCAGTTGCACAGATTTAATCTAACTTTGTAACCACCCATAGGGGACTTCCACGAACATACACTCTTAATGTGATCTAGTGAGACACCAATGAGTCTCAGCTTGTATGGCCTTTTTTTTTAGCCATAACAAGTGAGCAGATGTTGTATTTTGTTTTGCAAAGAGTTCTTTGGCAAAATACTGTATCATCCAGGCCTGTCAATCCTGCTAAAACTTCTAGCTTTTTCTAAAAGGCAAAAAAAAAAAAAAAAAAAAACCCATTGAAATATTGTGGATGAAATTAAGGAAAATGCAACACAACAGCTGATAGCAAGCCCAGAAAAGGATATTGTAATTTTTTTTGAAAAGGGAAAGAAATGTAGTGATAAATGTGAGATCGTAAGAGGTGTACCTTGAAAGACAAAGTGGCATAGATGGGCTAGTTTTGTTAATATTAAATGGCTGGATTTTTTGGGACAGACCAGACTAAATAGCAGTATCCAGGCATAGTCATACCTTTTCTTCAAAAACTTAAATTTTGAGGGGGTGATCAAATGCTCATACCCAAATCCGACTAAATGATCAAACATTAGATTTTTGTTTCAGAACCCCTTCTTGGTAAAGCCAAGAACTTTCCAACACCATAATTGTTTCACCTAAAAATCATTTTTTAATTTTTAATTTCTCAACATTGTGAGGAGACAACAAAAAAAAAAAAAAAAAAAAAAAAAAAAAGTACTTGGACTAACAATATAAAGTGTTGCTCACCATCCCTCATATTCTTCATCAGTTTCATCCAAGTCACTGTCATCTTCTTCACCATCATCCATCATTCCTTCAATGCCTTCAATATCTTCATCTATATCATCTTCATCCTCGTCTTCATCTTCCTCATCATCCATTTCATCAAAATCATGTAGGGATCGTTTTTTGGAGGATGAGCACCCTGAGCCACCAGGCTGTGGTTCCTGAAATTAAAAAAAGATCATTCTCTAAAAAAGTATATTTTTTTTTTTTTTTTTATACATATTTCCACTTTAATTATGTACAAAAACTATAAGAACATTTTAACTTTTAGATTATAAAAATAAAGAAAAAGGAAAATAAAACAAATTCCTAAATTTAATCTTTTTAAACGAAAAAACAGTATGATACTCCTTGATTGGTTTGGTTTATTTTATAGCATATCATCCTCAATGGGTTATTTAATGCTGACAAAATTTTAAGGATAGGCACATATGAAAAGAATAAGTATTCATTGTAAGAAATCAGTTTGTTGGCTAGGTTTCATTGAGATATTTTTATAAAGAGGGTTTTTGTCCAATGTCAGATGTATTGGTGGTAGTATTTCTTCTTTTCAAAAAATTTATTGCTGGTAATTTTTACTATAAAAATCTATTTTTATACTTTCATAGTGTTTTAACCCCAGTTTGGGAGTTAACTATTTGCCCATAGCTAGGACCTCCTAACAGGTGCTATCACCCCAGATCAGGGTGGATCTGGGAACAACAGTAATTAAGAGATGGTTCCATGCTCCTCAAAACCTCCTGATCAGAGGCCTTGTTGTCAGGTGTAGTTCATTGTCATCATTTTACATTTCTTTTCTCCTCAAGAATTTTATACATGCAAATACACTGACTGGTTTTCCAGCAAATATTTCCAGGAAATGACATAACCTCAGGTACACTAGAGCTGCCAATTAGTCAAACTCAAATTATGAATGAATGAATGAATGATAAAAAGTAAAAAATGACGAATAAAACTTTTCTCCGTTATTTATTGGTGTGTTTCACCTACAACTTACAACATGTTTGTTTTGATTTAATATATATATATATATATTGTAATGGAGATTGCCTGTTATTTTTTCCAGCAGTATGACAATATTTTACATAATTGTAACAAGAATTTTTGTATTGGGGTGCATAAACACCCCAGGGGATTATCCATTTTTGGAAACCCAAGCTAATTAACAGATGGTTAAGAATTAAAAGGGAGTCTTCAAAGATCAAATTAATTTTTATGCATGGATTTAAGTTATTTACTATAATTGTTTCAAACATGCACAAAATAGATGTGGTTTCATTGATAAATAAGAAAGGATTCACAGTGTGTGTGATTATATATATATATATAAAAACAAAAAGTCAAAGAAAAATCCTTACCCCACTTCCCGATGGTTCTTCATTTGATGACCCAGGTTTTTCCTCTTTAACACTCCCAGATGCTGAACTTGAACTCTGTACTTCTGAAGATGAGACGGACATGGAAGAAGAAGCAGCTTCAGGAAGGTCATCAACTTTGGAGGTTCCAGCTTCATCTTCTTTGCTTGACGTGCTAACTTTTGCATCAGTTTCTTTTGCTGAATTATCTTTGGAATCAGTCTCTGAACATTTGTCTTCTAAATCATCATCATCATCATCATTGTTTTTGCTTTCAGAATTCCTGTCATTAAATTCTTTTTCTGTGTTCAAGTTGTTCTCATTATCAGCATGGCCATTTGTGATTTTGTTGATACCACTACTTGAATCAACCATGTCATCCATGTTGCTGTCGGCTTCACCATCTTCACCACTGCCACTTCCTTTACCAATAATATTTGCCTTTTTTGAGCGGATAGCCGGTGAATCTTCAACCTTCTGTTTTTTGGTTGCAGCTACTTGGGGAACTCCCTGTTTGGCATATTTGGCCACTAATTCTTCAATGGGAATGTTGGCATCAGCTCTCAGCATATCTGCCTCATTTTCATCATGTGCCTCTTCATCTGCAAAACAAAAAGTATTGACCGGTGAGAAATTTTTTATCTCCTCACTTTGATACCTATAGAAGTTACATAGATATAAATCACTATTTTGTTTCAGTGTGTGTGTGTATATATATATATATATATATATATATATATATATATATATATCTCTCTTTATCTTTATTCAGAGTTTATGCTGACTACAGGCATGCGCACTCTAGAACTTAAAATTCTGAAATGCGCAGGTTAGTAGTTGAAATAAAAACAAAAAATTAAAACCAGTGTACTCAAATCTGGGTTCCCGCTAAAAATAACATTTTAAGAAATATATATATATATATATATATATATATGAGAGAGAGAGACAGACACAAACATGTGTGTGTGTGTGTGTGTGAAAAGTGTATATAAATAAATATATATAATGTATAATTATTTATATATTATATGCAGTAATTATTAGAAAGCGCTCAATATCAGAGACAGAGCTAACATATTTGGTTGGATAGATGTGAGTTTGTGACCCTGGGTTTCACGCTTTGGCGTCGTCAGACAAACTGACGATGCGCCAAAGAATGAAACCTGGGTCACAAACTCACTATCAAATCCAAATATATATATATATATATATATATATATATATATATATACACACACACACACACACACACACACACTGTGTATCAAAAATACTTTTACAAACTTTGGGGCTGGGTCTCTCACACCAAAACAAGAACAAAAGTCCATATAAACATAGGTCCACAAATCCTTCGTTTTTGAGTTATTAAGCTTAAAGTTTATGGTAGATGCTGTTAAATGTACAATCCAAAATTACTTTTACAAACTTTGGGGGCAGGTTCCTCACACAAAAACACGGTAAAGTGTCCATATAAATACATGTCTAAAAGGCCATTATTGTATGCCCACACATGCAACTCATAACAAATGTTCAAAATGTCCTCCACATGCATGCACCCATCGGATCATCATTGACTGGTGGACCCTTTCAAATACGCCTACACAGTGCCAAATGGATTTGCAGATCCCCAAGACATGTTGATGAAGTGTCCCTGCATTATTAATGTCCGCTGCATAAACCAAATGTTTTAGTTAGCCCCAAAGATAAAAATCCAAAGGATTGAGGTTGGGGGGTACATTCAGGCCACGGAACCGGTCTTCCCCTACTTATCCACCACTACATCTTTCATGGCAAAACAATGTGACTAAAATGTGCTGGAGCCCCATCATGCATCTTTATATTAGCAGGGGTACACCTTCTAGCAATTCTGGAAGTATAAAATAAAGTCACTGTAGACAGCTCCTGAAAGATGTGATAGGAGAACACACGGGCCTACCAGACAGTCACCTACAATTCCAGCCCACACAATCATAAACTGATGCTGGTGTCTTGCTGGTTTTGTACCATGAGGATTCTGATCCATCCACAAATGCTGTTCTTGAAGTACCCTCCATTTAGTACTATGAAATGTACATGCTAGGGCCACTTGATATGTGCTGATACCTGGACTGTCTCCAACAGTTTGTAGAATGTGTTCTTCATGGTCAGGCATATGAGCAGATCTTGTCTTCCTTGATCCATAATTTGTGGTGACAAAGATCCTGTATCAACAATGCAATGATAAACAGCAGTAAAGTTTGGATGACTTATGGCCATATGTAAAAAATCATAACCTGCCATTGTTAAACGGAACACTTCTCAGTTAACTCACTACAACACGTTAAACACTGAAGAGAGACTAACCACAAATGTTCACAAATATTTAATATAGCCTAGGGTACATGACGACACAGCACCATCAATCATAAACCAACCCTCAAAGTTTGTAAAAGTATTTTTGATATACCCTGTGTGTGTGTGTATATATATATATATATATATATATATATATACAAACACACAAACAAACTGTGTTATTCCAAATGATTAGAATAAAATCCAATCTCAACATCAAGCAAGCATACAAGTAATTTCTGGCATATAGAACATATTACAAACCAAAAAGTTGCAAGCAAAAGCCAAAAAGATGTGCAAAGCATTAAAATTTGTGTTAAGATCTTTACAGAGCCTTCAAAAAACGGAAGATTTTATTTTCTAAAATATCTAAAGTAGGCAAAAAATGAAGTCAAAAATTTTTCAAGGTGGATTTAGACATTGTCTAAGAGCAAGTTTACCCCAAAATTATAGGCAGCAGTGTGTTATGAAAGATAGAATTATAAAGTATTGAAAAGTAAATGTGTTTATATAAAGATAGCCAAACCATGCAATATTTTTTAACAAAACAAAATATCCAGTCTTTAGCCTCCTCCACAGACAAGACAAAGACCTTTTTATGCCTTTAATAAACAAGAATAAATTTGTTAGTGCTTCTTTAAGACATTTCCAAGCTTTATGGTTTTTCCTTCTCCTAGTCTGGTTGGTAGACAAAGTTAAGATAATTAATCCATAACTGGATGAAGAAATGCATTTATACTTTTCCCAATGACATTTGTGCAAAAGTGAACATAACTTAGACATACTGATACCACCTTCTGCAATGAGAACCACTATGCTATGCACACATCAACTTTATGAATCAACTATTAATTGCTTGATGTCTTTTCCCTACTAATAAATAATTTACCTCAAATTTCAGTTACAAAACTGATTACTTACAAAATTTTCTGAAATCACACTAGCAATTTCAGAATTGTGATATGTACACATATTTATTTTTATCTTATTGATAACAGTGACAGTAATTTAATGCAGCATTTCTTGCACTATTTCAGGCTATATTATAAAAATATTAACTTGAAATAATAAAAACAGTGAACAGTTGTGGGATTCAACCTGCCAGTATATCAACATGCATAAAAAATTGTGATGAAGATAGAAAAAAAAAAAAAAAAAAAAAAAACCTTTACATCACATTATAGCCACTTTATTTTTTTTAGTCCTTATATAATACAAAGTTGTTTTCAGTTCAAAAGATATGGGTTTACCTGTTAAACACTGAAAATATATTTTTGCTTACATGAATCCAGTCAATTTCATTTGAGAATAATAACAGCAGGAATGGTTATCTGAACAATATTTCCATTAAATAACAATGTTATACACATTTATATAGAAATAATTTAAGTGACCTTTATTAATATTTAACATTATAGAAAAAGTAAAAATAAATAGATACAAAATCCACAAATCATAATCTTTATATACAAAATAGCAAATTGTAAAATGTAGCACAAGTACAAATATATTTTCAAATTTAAACAGAAGTTAAATATGGATCCATAAAATTCTAATTTAGTTCTGATTTTATAAGCGAATATTACAATATAGTGTGCAAAATTCTTATCTTCATTCTGAAAACAAAGTTAAAAAAAAAAAAAAGGGAAATAACTCTAGATATTGTTTTATACTAGTCATGTAACATCAAGACGCAGAATAAGCAGGAACCATTTGAAGCAGCAACTTGACAAAAATGGTCTTAGTATAAACTTATACAATTAAGTCATCCTAAAACACATTAGTATACTAACCTCAAATGCAGTTGACAGTCAACAAAAGAGAAATGCATAACTAATCTACTGCCTAAATTTCCTAAGAACCATTATGAGTTAATGAGTGCTTCACTAATATTTTCGTTGCAGTCAGTTCTATTCTAGGGTTGCATGGCTAAAGCAGTTACATATTTCACATGTGGTAGAAAAAGGATGTCATACTGGATTTTAAAGCTGATTGACTTTTCTCCTTAGGTGTAGCAATTTTTACTGTTTAAAAAGTGGCATCTGATTACTAAAATTAGCTTGCAGAATAAATTTTAGTAGTAGCATAAACTATTTGATTGAAATACACGTATAATTTCAAAATGAAGCAAAATTACATTAAAAAAAAAAAAAAAAAAATTATTGGCAGTTTGTGTTTATCTTCAAATCAATTTTAACATATTGGAATTTTCAAATGCAAATGACTATAAGAAAAAAAGATTTCCCATTTGAGATTGGTTATTTCAACAGCTTACAAAGTGTGTGTGTGTATATATATATATATATATATATATATATATATACACACACAATGAAACACGGATATAAGAGATTTTCTCTGGTCCCAAATTAGAGCCTGTGTTAATGTATACATATAGACCAAACCTGGATATAAGAGACTTCTTCTCCGGTCCCGACAACTCTCTTATATCCGGGTTACACTGTGTGTGTGTGTGTGTGTGTGTGTGTGTGTGTGTATATATTTTCTTGCATCAATGCTCCCATCAGTATTAAAAATAAAGCAATGATTAGGGCACTAGTCTCAAGCAATCCACTGACAGAATTTATTCCCAATTTGGACAAGAAATGCAGTTTTATGCAAAAGTTGGTTTAATCCAATAAATATCTATTAAAAATGAGATTAAATAACTGTATTAACACATTTGTTAACAACTTTACAAGAAATATTCTATATAAAAGTTACATAATGATATAGCAAACACAAAGACAATAGCTCCCATTAGAATAAAAGCTAATTTAAAAAAAAGGAATGAAAAAGGGACCAAAAATGGCAGCCACAAAAGCAAAAGATAACAAAATAATTACACTAAACAGCTGAAAAAATTGAAAAGCAAGAAAGATATTTTTTATTTAATTCTTTTAATTTAAGAAGCTCACAAATATATAAATATATATATAAAAGATACCTTTAATTTCCCATGTTCAAAGGCAAAAGAGAGGAAGAAATGAATTTTCTTTGTAAAATAGGAAACAGGGACAACAACAAACCTGAAACTGGGGAATAAATCGATGATGAAGAAGACGACGAAGAAGAAGAATCATGGTAGAATCTTGGTTTTAGTGCATTTGACCTTTCAATTGTTTTGCCTAGCAAAAATAGAAAGAATTTTCATTCAGCAATCAAGAAAACAAAGCCGTTAAAAAAAGAAAAGAAAAATATAGACAATACTATATGTTGAAGGGAAACAACTTATTTGTTAATCATTGCTTACGCATGCAACTTAAGCAACTTAAAAACTATTACGTGTGTGTGTGTGTATATATATATATATATATATAAATGTTTTCACTTAACCAATTTATTATTCTATCCTTATTTTTGATATTGAGCACTACCACAAAGTCTGCCTCCTTTAAATGCCTGTATATAAAAAAAAAAAAAAAAAAAAAAAAAAAGTGAAAAAACCAGTCTTCCAAATTACCTATATATATATATATATATATATATATATATATATATATATATATATATATATATAACTTTTAAGAATTTACACTCAATTGAAACTTCGACAACATCACTTAGAATGGTTGCAGATCTGTTATACAAGACTGAAAGAACAAATTTTTACTTTACAATCTTATTTTGAAAATTCATCAGCAACAGAAAACACGCCAATGCCTAACAATATCAAATGCTCTTAAATTACAAAGCTTAAGGATGATGGCCTGTAAACAATAGGACAACCTATGAGACCAACTTAAAAAAAACAATAATCATGATGAATTAGAATTTTTAATTCATCATTGTTTTGATTGATATGAACAAATGTTGTATTTTAATGTCATTATATACATTAAGGTAGACAAAATGTGTCTAGAAAGTCTCCAACCACTTTGAATATCTTACCAATCGGTTGTGTGGCTTTGATGTAACATGTGGTTATTCAATCAACAGTAAAATACCACTGCATGAACTTGTATACCATATAACCATCATTGATAATGTCTTCTCTTGTCTTTTGGGACTGGGGTGGTCATATGCATTATCTAAGTCTCTTAGCTCCTGGCAATTTCTGTCTTTTCCCCCAAAATATAATTGCTGTTTGAAAGGAAGTGACTTGAAACCATTGATGAGATCAAGGATTCTGGAGAATGTGACAAGGGTCACTGATGATAAATTGAGATTTTTTTTAAATTGTCTAAAAAGTTGAAGGGAGGCTAGGACAAGTGTATAAGTTCCCAACAGGATTACCTTAAAGAGAACTAAGGTACCATTGCCATAGGTATAGTATTCTTTTGTTAATATTAAGTGGTTTGATTCTTTCAATGATCAGTCTGAAGATCCCAATACACTAGCTTATGTTATTTCATATTACTTACATAGATTGATCCACTTATTAAAAAGAAAAAATAGGGAAGGTTCGTTTGTTTTTTTAAAATAATTTTTGAAGATTAGCACTCTTTAAACTTTCCTTAGGCTATATCATTTGTCAGAATTTTTTTCAATTTAGAAGAGAATTTCCGCTCATAAAATTGATAAAGTGTAAAATCAATCATATTTCTATACTTTTAATTTATGTAAAGTTTTGTTCTTCAAGAATCATTTGTCCCCCTGACCCCCCACCCCAAATTCACTTGACAAACAATTGCTTCTTTGAAATATGTACATGTTTGTTCTTTAATGGCAAAAAAATCTTTTCATAAAATAAAAACATGGAAATGTATATATCCATTTGTTTATTCAAAAGAAATTTAAAGAAAAAAAAAAAGATTTTCATATGCAGATATCAACAACATTAGTGTCAAACATGACACTTGTAAATAAAGATGATGCTGTACAAGTCAGAAATTGATTTTACACTGCATCACTATTATGAACAGGACCCTACTTCAAAAGTGATTAAAAATAAATAAATAAAAATTCTTATTCTATGCTAATCTGAAAATTTAAAAATAGTTTGATATAACTGACACCCATGAGTGAAAAAGATTAAAAGAGATATGCTTATTGTTGTTATTCCTACAAATTTTTCTTTTTTTATATATCCCAGAATTTTTATATAGCACCTTTGATAAAACCATAATTTACAATTTCAAAACTATCAATGAAATTAATGTTTATAGAAAAATCAGTAAAAATATTTTCCTAAAAGAAAACTATTTGACAATTTCACAAAATTAATATTGAAGTGAAAACTCAGAAAAGAAAAATCATCATAGTGAATAGCAGGGGAGAAAACTCAAATATACTTTAATAAAATAACTAATATATATATTAAAAAAAAAATAAATAAAAGCCTTAAAGTTATTTTAAGAATAACACCATGTTATTAGAATTCATGCCAAAATAAAATGCGTTTAATAGAATTTGTCTTCAATAGTACATGAAATGAAAAAAATATCATTTAAGAAAGCATAACCACTAATCAATTCCTACAAAAATTAGTTTACATTATCAGCTTAGCAAAGAGACTAAACAAGAAAGTATGTGCCATATTAAGTAGGGACCTCCACAAAAAAAAAAAAAAAAAAAAAAAATTATCTTGAAGCTTTTTGAAGATCAAATTTAATATTTCCAATACCCAAAATACTTTGCTATACTTAAATAGCCAATTTGAACTTCCTGGAAGGAGTTTTTTCTGCTAAATTAGCTAATTATTACCCCTTTACTCTTATCGCAATGTAATTCCCTTAATTAAAAAAATACAGAATTTTAAAAACATTAAAACTTAATAAATTTTCATAATTACCAAAAAAAAAAATAAATAAATAAAAAAATAAAAAAGAGTAAAAATTCATTATTCATCGGAATTTTTTTTCCTCAAGATTATAGTGGTCCTGAATATCTTATAAAAGCAATTAAAATTTTTTCTAATTAAATAATTAGATAGTTTTATTGCATTTTTTTATTTTACAATTCAGAGCAGATTTTTGGTAAACAAGTATTGTATGCAAGGAATAGTAATTAGATTTTAAACCAATGATTTACTTTATTCCATTTTATTAAAACGCTTCCTTTGTGCCATGATAGCTCAATGCATATAAAATTGTAATATACCATCAAGTATCAGTCATCCAGCCTATAAAATAGTTGGAGATTTTTCTGTACTATAATAGAAAGATAGCCAGAAATTTATTCTAAAATCAAAGTGTAGCCTAAAGTGAGATTAACATAAGAAATTAGAAAGAACATAATATTCTGTTATTTAACGATCAAAATATTTAAAATGCAATATCAAACATAGTAATTATTTGGATTTTTTAATACTATATTATATTCTGAATTATTTTTTGTTTTGTTTGCCATTTTCATAAATGGGAAAATGTTAATAGGTTTATCATAATGTTAAATAGTATGAACTTGAAAAAAAATTAATCTCCCATATACATCTTATTTGAAGATAACACCATTTTATGAGAGGACTTCCTCTGTTATCATACCATTCTTATATATATATATATATATATATATATATATATATATACACACACACACAGGAGAAACTAGCATTGAGCATCTATACAGATATTTTTAGTGTTAAATTAGATGGAAAGCTAAACATTTTTAAATTAAGCATAAAAAAGAAGTTTAAAATTATGCAAATTTTATAAATTTGCCCTTGTGATTTGTTTAAACCCATTTAATATTTTTTTTTAAAATATTTTATAAGTTATAACATATTTTAAACCTAATTCTTAGCAAAGTCTTAATGTAGCATGTTTGCTATATATGCAAATAATGGAAGTAGTCACAGTGTAATAATGAATGTTAGTTTTAAAGTAAAATCCAGGTATAAGAGTAGTTTCGACTTGAAATCACACTGTAAATCTATGCTGAATGTAAGGGAAAATGAACATCAAAGACTTTTGTCTGAAGAGACACCGAAATCAGGTATAGTTGATCATATAGAGAGGGAAAAGGAGTGATCATCAACCATTGTAGAATGAAATCAAGATAATACAGTGAATAACAACACTGAAAGAACCAACATAATTACACACTGAAAACTTCCTTGTAAACTTAGAATGGAGATGTGGATACCATCCGATTAAGAAAGGACATACAAACTAATTACAAACACTCATATTTACCTGATTACAGACAAAGTTTAAAGTTAAACACGTGATCATCCAAGTGGATTCAAAAATTGAGTAAAACCTAACTAGTAGTTTTGAGTTCAATTTTGGGTCTGGTAGTGCTGAAAAAAATCCTACAGACTGTCTAAGTGGAAGAAACAGACTAGCAACACTAAGGAAAATAAGACATGTAAGTATTAACTAACATGAGAACAATAAACAAGTATGAAGGCAGGTAATTGAAGAAAGCCAGAGAGCACAACAGCTGAAACAGTGTGAGTATAACAACAAAGATGAGTATGCTAGTTCAAATAGCAAACCATATAATCATGAGGATTGCTAATCACAAATTTTTTTAAACAAATATATATTTGTACTCACAAGTGATTAAAGCATAAGCTTTTTGGAAAAGAGGTTTTGAAGCTAAGATTATTAAGGATGTTCCTTTTCAGCAATGAGTCCAATACATGCAATATCATCCATACTCAGTATAATAAATATCAACATTTTTATATTTTCTGTAGTTATTTAATTTTGTGAAATCTTGCACATCAGAAGAAACTGTACCCCCCCCAGGAATTTCTCATAATGCAACAAATAAAGCTGGCCACTTCTTGTTTCTCTCATTGATAAATTTACAGCACCGAAAATGTATATGTTACCTTTGTCAATATTGGCCAACATTTTAAGCTCTTTCACAACTTCTTCTGTGATCAATGTGGCATCAAAACCAAGAAAAGCCTCACGAAGTGCATCCCCCAATCGTCCATCTTTGTAACTGGGTAATTTTTTTACATAGTCTGGAAGGTGCAAAGCACAATATTCTGCAACCTCTGAACCTAAAAATCAAAAATACAATAGCAAACGTAATAATTAGCTATATGTAAAATGGAGATCAATAATTTACATTAACAAAAAAGTTTATAAGTTTATAATACAGTTAAATTATGAAAAGCTTAAATACAAAATTGAACATATTTCAAAGACTTATGTACAGCAGAACACCAATTATGTCAATTTTGGATTATCCAAATCAAATTTCAAGATCCTGTGTGTATTTAATTTTACAACTTTATCCTGAACACAAATCTGTTACAATTGATGGAGTTTATTGGTTTATTTACTATTCCCATGTTTGTTAAGAGAAAGCTGACTGTAGGTTACTTCAAACAAGTAAAAAGTAAGTCAATTAAAATGAAGAATTTAAAACCATGGCAAAATCTGTGATGACATCATTATCCTCATTATTGTGTTTTGAATGTTTTATAATTACATCATGATTTCTTAAAAATTTTCAGCTCTGTATTTGTATTCTTTAAATGATATAACACGTTTTTATTTGTAAAATATAATTAATTTTTAAGCATTATTGTGTTTTTATCCATTCCATCAATTGAATAAAATCAAACCCATTAAACTTGCTTTTTGCATGTTAAGTATGGTGTCTACTCCCCACACCCTTTTCAGCAGCAGATCAGTTATTCAAACAAGATACTACCAGCCAGTCTTGGATAACTGACAATATAGTTTTTGTATGATTTAGTCAGTTTTTATTTAGATGCTACAAATTATACCAATTCTTATCATTCCAATATTGATGTAATTTCTTTAATATAAGTCTTTTCATAACCTGTGGCTTGAATTTTTTTGTTTTTTTACTCAAGTGACATTTCTGAATCAAAAGGAAAAAAATGGAGTTGTGAAATGTAGTGAAATTATATAGTTTTTAAAATTTCCTATAGATTTAATGTTAGAGTGTTTACTAGCATTTACATAAAAAATAAGTCTGACAGTGAAAAAGAGATAAAATATTTTATGATGAATTAATAACTATTTAAAACCTATGATTACCTTTTTGTTCATATGAGGAAAAATAAATAAATAAAAGTGCATCCTTTTATATTGGAGTTATTAAAATAAAATTGGTTATTAATACTTAATTCCAAAATTGTCTTTCCATAGTTCTTCATGATTCTGTAGATAAGCCAGAAAAACATAGCAACATTATTCTTTGGGGAAAACTTCAAAGAATTAAACTTAATAACATGTTGAAAAAAAAAAAAAAGAAAAAGAAAAAGAAAAAAAAGTTAAACATTTTACCTCCATGCCCATCATACACGGCTAACATGGCTGTTTTGGTGTTCTCATCAAAATCTGCAAGGCAGTTATGGGCATCCTGAAGAAACAAAAATAATGACAAAAGAACATTAATAATCATACTTATTATAAAACTCAGGTTGTGTGTGTGTGTGTGTGTGTGTGTGTGTGTGTGTGTTCGTTTATATATTGGATCGGATTTCCTACATTTTTCAACCAATTTCAAAACTTCACAGGACTATGTAAAATTACTTTGAGGTGGTTCTGACAGCGCCAAAAATTAGAAAAACAATTGTTTTTGCATAAAAATCAATTTGAAAACGCGATTAAGAAGCATCGCTGTCGCCAGAATGAAAGGGGGACAACTCATATTGAGTTATACTTATAAAATCCAGGTTGTTTGTGTGCTCGTTTATATATGGGATCGGATTTCCTACATTTTTCAACCGATTTCAACAAAACTTTACTTTTTTTTTGGCAAGTAGTGTTTCTTATTGTTTGCACACTTTTTTCTTTATTTTTACATTCAGAACGGTTTAAAAATTCCATTTACAAGACAATTGTTTATAATAAAATTCTATTCAATCAATAGACTCATAACAATTGAAAACAATGTTTTTGTTTGAGTTTGACCAATTCGTAAAAAAAAACAAAAACTAATTGACATGCGTGTCCATCAACCTTAAACAATAATCTTTGTCAATTTTATTTTTCAGTCTTTATGATGGTCGATACTTGATCTATCTCTTACTGTTACATCCCCTGGCAATGCTGGGCTCTACTGCTAGTAATAAATATATATATATATATATATATATATATATATATATATATATATATATATATATATATATATATAATAAAGAATAAATTCTTTGAAACGCTTTCTTAATAGCAAAGCTTACTGGCAAAATTTCTTTGCTTTCAAATCAAAATGTTCACTTCATTAAATACTGGAGATACAATACTTATATTTCAGGAATATAAACAAAATTCTGAAAACACAGATAATTATCAAAATAAAGTACACATTTTCAATTGGCTCTAAAGAGTACATTTCTTTACATACTAACAATTAAAATATCAGTAACAACTTTCATTGACTAAATTTAAAGCTCTCGGTACATTTAACAACAACAAAAAAAAATCTCATTTTTGCTTCAGTGCTGTGAAGAAATAATTAAACATTCCAGTCTGAATTTCAGGAACTAGTAGTTATTTACATTATTTTTATATAGACTAATGTCTTCATCTTTGTTATTCTTACACTTTTTGGTCATTGTACCATCCATCCATCCTTCTTTAGGTGATTGTCAATCCAGGAAATTGAGCTGAAATCCTTATTTAATCAGTCTCAGAGTAAACAAACAAAAAAAAAAAAACTAATAGTGTGATAGATATAAATCTTCCTCCTTTTAAGCATTTCAAAAAGATTAATTCTTATTACTTAACTATACAATCAGATGAAAATTCGCTATTATAAGGATCTACAAATTACTCATTTCAGATAAGTTGTGCAATACCAATCTTTCTATATAGCAGCAAACACTGCACAATTTCCTCACAGAGTTGAGGTAACAGAAATATAGTCCACAAAAGAATACCACAGACAGAACATGTGGGTAATCAGGAAGTTTTAAAGAAAATGGGAACAAAAAGGAAACTTGTGCTTAATATCAGAAAGAGACAATTGAAATTTTTGGAACACAAATGATGAAAGAAGGCTTGGAGAATTTGACACTCACATAACATTGGAGGCAAGAGGGAAACAGAGTAACCTCTAACAAGCTTGTGTAAATGGATGACAGGACGGGGACTAGGAGAAAAATATTGTTTAGCGCTACAAATAGGAAGCAATGGAAATCCATTATCGCCCACGTCCTGAAATGACTACTTAAGAAGATCAATTCAGATAAACAAACAAAAAAAAAAAAACAAAAAAAAACAAACATACGAAATTGCATTCTTAGATTTTCTGATAACTTTTTTTTTATTCTTTTAATCTGGAGTTATATCATAAAAATAAATCTTTTAACAAAGTTTAAAATAAATTGTGAATATAGTTGAATATTCTACAAAAGGCTAAAATATGGGAGACTAGATTTAAAAGACAATGCACATCCTGTTATAGCAGAAAAAATATATTTGATTACATAGCGAAGAAAAAAATTTAAAAAGCCTAGGTGATTTTCAAGGGAAAGTATTTTTAATCTTTTCTAAATTTAATGCTGGTGGCCATTTTTTTTTAATTCTTTAACTTTTTTTTCCTTCATTTTTAGCGAGTAACAAATTTCAAGAAATATAACAGTCCTTATCCCTGACGGTACTTTCAAGCAGAGAATATGTACTTGTTCCCACATGAAAAGTCACAAAACCACTAAAAATTCAATTTAAAAATGGCAACTTTCGTCACACAAGGGAGGTAATAACATTTTTATAATCGACAAAATTCAATTTTTAGCAGCATGATTTTTTTTCTACTTAAAAATTAATTCTTAATCGTTTATTGATACTAACAAAAATATGACACGAAATGAGTTTTCAATTTTATTTACAAATAAACAATCGAGTTTACTCGCACAAATACGAATTCAGATTATCTTTGTACTCATCTAGATAACAGAATTTTTAGTTCAGTGAATAAATGTCAGAATTTCAACCTTTCGCTCGCTATGAATGGCAGGGCTCGTTCAGGTGAAATTTCGTTTAAAACACACTAGTACTAAATTCATAGCAAAATAAAAACTATCTTTTTATTTTAGACCATATTGTTTTCCAGAGTTTACGAAGTAACAGTACACAAAAAAAAATAAATAAAATAATAATTATAATAAAATGCAATTAAATTTGAAAGACTGCTGAAGGTTTTCTTCTACAGGTTTAATTCATTTAAATAATCTTACCGCGCAATAAAATATTTTCAAAATTTACTATCATTTCTTTTTTGCATAAGAGGAAAAAAAAAAAAAAAAAAAAAAAAAAAACTTGTCTAAGTTTTAAAAAAAGTTATCACGTGACCAAACACTTACCTAGCGATAAAAAAAAAAAAAAAAATTATAGACTTTTCTTAATTCCCATACAATCAATACATCTCAATAATTATTTTCGCCATAGTAGCTTGCTTCACAAGACCGCCAAAAAGTTTAGTTACTTATAAGATCTAAATCTTGAAAGTCTTTTTTTTTTTTTAAGTAACGGTATCGGGTAAAAAAAAAAAAAAAGTTGAGCCACAACTGCCCATTTGCCTAAAACACCGATCGACATTAAATGTAAAAACAAAACTTGTTTAAATAGCTAGGCTTAACAATTTGAAATTAACAATTAATTTCGTTATAAAATTACAATCTCACTTATTCGCCCCCCCAAAAAAACGAATATTGAAAAATGAAAGGGCATAAAACTAGTTTCCTCATTTTCGATCGGTTCGACAATTTTTCAAACATCACTTTAAAAAAATAAAAGTTTAAATAGACCCCCACAACACCACGCTGTAGCCCTTTAAACCTTTTAAAATTCATAAACTTGAATGACACCGCCACCGGCAAAAAAAAAAAAAAAAAATCCTGCTGATGAAAATCAGAAAATTTTTTTAGGATTGTCGTCGTCGTCATGTGTAAGAAGATCAGTTTGTTCGGATTTTTTCTAAGATTGTTATGAATTCAATCAATTCAGTCTTAAAATCTAGAAATGTGACGATAGATGTTCGACATAGAAACCCGTAATTCAACATAATCTTTATTTTTATTTTTTCAATCTGTAAACTTGTTACTAGATTTTGTCTTTACATTATTAACTCTGCAAACTAAGTAAAATGTAATTTGTCCTCAAAATACCATAAAAAATATATATAATCGAGACTTTTTTTTTTTTTACTCTATCTATACAAATTAAGTTTTCTTTAACACTGCTTAATCTAAAAGTAGTAAGGTGATTTAAATCAAGAATGATGGAAATAAATGAGAGGGGAGGAGGACCATGCGGGTACGTAAAAAAATACTAAGACAAAAGATCGCTTAAAAAACGGCAAAGGCAAAACAATCGTTAGCAATTCTAAGTAAAAAAAAGAAAAAAAAAAAGATAGATGCTACGCTAGATTTTTATCTTTTTTTCTTTCTTTTTTTTTTAATCGTCTAGAGAGAGATAAGTACACTGTATACAATAATTTACCCCAGAAAATTAAATAAACGAAGATTTCAAGATCAAAATATCGAGCAAAAACGCAATCTTAGATTTTTAATATCTTCTTAATAAAATAAAATCTAAAGAGAACTAAATGATTCAAAGACTTAAAAACACTAAGTCTTCAATTTGGAGTTAGTAGTAGTAGTAGTGCAACTACAATCTCTGGTCGTAAACCCATCATAAAGTCAATGCGTATATCCACTTGAAGGGATGATAAAATTACTCGATTTAAAGTCATAAAGTACTCGAATCAGCAATCTATACAGGCCACCTATCGTTAAATTATGCGGAGAAGTTGAAAATTCGGGTGACTCAAGATTATTTGAAAAGAAATAAAAAAGGAGGAAATATGTGTTATGGAGTTGTGTGACGACGAAGATGGCTACCTACCTCTTGCGTTAGTCTCCATCCTTGCATAGATGATGCTCCATAGGTGAAGTTCCTTCCTTGGCCATCATCCGAAAACTTTTCGGTGATTGGGGATGATAGATAGACTCCCATAGCCGCGACCGGTGTAAAAAATGTAGCTTAGTTGAGAACAATATTAGCACAACAAAGCTACAACGATGTATACACGTGCATTCTATTTCGCGGTTTGAGTTAGCTATACCACGTGACGTCAGCGCAGCACTGAACATGAATTGGCATATTTTGAACATTAACGATTAAATAAACCCAGATATTTGTTTATATGAGTTCCAAAAATATTTTTATTTTTATTTTTCTTCGATAACCAATAAAATATGTTTTTGAAACTCTAATTTTATTTTAGTAAATTATTAACTGCCCTTGTCGGGTATTGTAACTTTTTTTCCGGTGTTATCTGCCCTTGCATGACGCATTTACTCAAGTTCTAACCACGACGCCCTTTTCTTAGATGTTTGTAAAGGGGATTACGAAAAGCTTAATAATCTGGTTTAAAACAACCATTTAGCATAAAATATCATCATCCCAAGAAACAAAGTTGCTACGAAAATTGAGGGGTCATAACTTAAGCTAAAAAAATTACGTTTTTTTTTTTAAAACCATTCACTTGAGTGGAGTGAAGTGAGTGGGGATTTTCTTTTTGTTGTTGATGATGGCCGATGTAGAAGCTGAAATTCGACCGGATTTAAAAACAGACAGCGGCGATGAATCGGACGATTTAAGTGAAGTATTAGAAGAAAGTCCATGTGGCAGATGGCAGAAGCGTAGGGAAGAGGTACGTATGATTTGTTATTAAATCACTAAGTTACTTTTATTCAAATTCTTCTCTTGTGGCGACCAGGTCCAAAATAGGAATCCGCTCATCAAAACCAAATCTCTTTCTTGTGACTGATGTTTTACTCCCCACCCTTAAAGCATGGCTATGTTTTCATGTGACGATAGCATTTAAAAACGTCTAATTAAAAACAAAAGTGAACAAAAAAAAGCTTTAATTTCCAAGACATATATTGTTTTTAAAATTATCAATACCTTTTTTTTTAGTTACAACAAAGCGTTACTCCCTTTGCTGCTTTTATTTCAGTCAGCTGAATGTTTAAAAAAAAAACTAGTGATCTCTGAAAAAAGTTTTAAGGGTTGACATCTGATAAACATTGACTTCATGCTGCGTAAATAAGAAAAAAATCGAATCTTTCAAATCTTGTTCGGTTTCTTATTTAAGAAATTTGATTTAATTAATTGATAATCCATTATTATTACAATGAACGAAAACATGTCAATATAAAAAATGAACATAAAGCCTATAGGTCTTTTACCGTTCCAAGTGAAAAAAAAGCCTTTATTAAAATTGGTATTCGTTATAGCCTTTTTAGAATAATAAAAATAACATTTTAATTTTTTTTAATGCCAACTATTGCTTTGATTTTCTCATTCGTTCTAAAACTGACAGTACATTGATTTATTTAATTCTTTTTTTTTTAATTTTGCAACATGACGCATGCAACGATAAAAACAAATACAAACAACAAAACGAAAAACTTTTTTTTTTAATTACGCAATTGTTTTAATTGAAAGAAATAAAATCAATTTCAAGAAATTAGCAAGTCTAGAAAAAAGTTCAATTTTGTTGACGAAAAAGTTAAGAGAGGAAACCTGTTTAGTTTATGATGAAATGCTTTTTCTCTTATTCGTATTATTTTTAAATAAGAAATTTTTACACATGGTGCCACTGTTTCTGTATTACTCAGACTAAGTTATAAGCTAAACTTTAGTATCAGAATCATATGCCAAAAATAATAACATTTAGTGTGATTAATAGTTAATTCCTTGTTTACTGTGTTTCTGTTTAGTTTATCAGTTTTTTTTGTTTTTGTTTTTTTGTCTATCTGATCGCTTCTTTATTCGTTTTACTTTTTAAATGGAAGCTGACTACAATAATCAATGACAATGTCATCATTTTTTTCAGTTTAACTTTAAATGAATCTCTAAAAACACTATATTTGGAAATTGGTTTACTTATTTCTTCTTAAAACACCTTTTCTTCAGTATTCAAATTTCAGTGAAAAGAATGAAAATTACATTTTAAAAGGACTAGTAAACATTGTTTAGTTTAATTAAACTAAAAAGTAAACCATGTCTAGTTTTACCATGCTAGCTTACTAGCCAAGTTGTCCAAAAAGTCGAAACATCTTTGATTACGAACAATTTTTTGGTAGTTACTTCTGGTAAGAAGTTAGTTGAGGAAATATTGTGTAAATGCAATTGAATCTCTTATTTCACGATTTGAAGATGTATCTTTTTGAATATTGTTTTTCTACTGTTGTAAGATAATCTACTTCTACTAACTTGGTCTTGTTACTTAATATTAGTACACTAGCAGTACACTTACTTGCAAACACCTGTGTGAGTATGTATGTGGAACTGGAATACATTTCCGATATAAAACAAAAAAATACAACTAAAATGACCTTGATAGTTTTTTTGTATAACTAGAGGAAAATTATTAAACATTCTTTTTAGTATTTTTTTTATTTTCCAGAGTACTTAATAATATTTACTACTTTAAATTTCTAAAACAAGATGCAAGTATTTTTTTTTTTTTTTTAAAAAATAACATGGTTGTGTATGTCATCACACACGCTACACGATACAGAACTTTGTTTTCGCTTGTTTTCCTTGACCTAAAGCTTGGTGACGAAAGTAGAACACTTATGTTTCTTAAATAATTCATAATTGCTACTATATAATAATCGTAGAAATGAAATTAGCCATTTGGATTTTTCAGACTTCAATTTTTACATTGTCAGAATTTATCATGTTTTTAGTTTACTGTTTAAGGCTAAGAAGCTAAAATGTCGGATGTAAAAAATATACATCCCTGTCGAGGATGTCATGTTTTTTATTTATTTATAAAACTTTGGAAGGAAAGTTCTTTTTAAGAATGTCTTATTTTTTTAATAATAGTTACTGCTTTTTAGTGGGTCAGATTTATCATAAACTAGGGTGTTTCCGCACTTACTGAAAATTTGATATTTTTTATTTAAAAAGAATCGTTTAAATTTTTTTAAAAGTACAAAATTTTCTTGTTTCTCTTAACGAATTTTTCAACTATTCAATTTTAAACAAAATAATAATTTGAAATCTTTTAATAGTGGTATTTTTTTTCTTTAAAAAAAATGTTCCTTTTGTGATCATAATCAAAGTTCGAAACCGTTTAAAAATTGTGTGTTGTGGGGTTTTTTTTTGGGTGGGGGGTAATATTTTCTTACTTTTCACAGGTTTAAATAAGTAAATATTATTATTATTATTTATTTATTTTACCGATTGCACATCATGACTCCAGAAATACACACCTCACGTTTTGATTACCGGTAACCACTCAAATGTACTCATCACAAAAATGGTAAAAAGACCTACTTCCCAATCTTAAACATTTGTATTCTAAACTAATTTTGTAAGGAGTAAATTAAATTATTATTTTATTGCAATCATTTAGGTAATTTTCTACATAAAACTGAAAAATGCAATGTGTATTTGAATGTGGTAATAAGTAAATTTAATAATTAAAATAGCTAAACATAAGCATTTCAGTGGCATGTTAAAAAGGATCTACACTACAGTGTTTTACTAAGCATAGCTTGTGGTATAAGCCCGCAATTGTGGAGCACCCAGTGATTATCAAACTCAGTTCTAATTAATAGTGAGACAAGATTGCTAACCATTTTTAACACCATATCAAAGTGGCCAAGAGGATGAACACATGTAAAAACAGGCAAGCTCCAGAAAAAAATCTGCCAAATCTAGAATCAAATTAGAAATTTGTATATATGTGAAGGAAACTGTTAGACATAGTAGGAAATACGTGAAAAGAGGTTTGAAAAGAGAATTTTCAATCATTTGCTGTTGATAAGAGTAAATTCAAAAACATTTGTATCTCCTAAAACAAATAAATCCTAGACTTTGCAACTGTTGTAGTCAGTCAACTCAACAATTCCATTTCATCTATGCCAAAAATCTTCTTTTCAAGAAAAGTGGAGCAACTATAGATAAAGATTCACCAACAACTGAAATGACATAGCAGCTTCTCTAAGTACTTCCTTTTCCTCTGTAAATAATGAAATTTATTGAGATGTTAAAACTTTCTCCATATCAGGCACATATCCATTTGTACAAATATTTAAAATAAGATTGTTTAATATGAAAAGATACACCTGCAAAAATCAAGTAACATGCAGTCTTATGTAATAAAAAAAATTATTGTAAAAACGTAAATAAAATGTATTTCTGAATTTATGACAATTATTGAAATCATTGTTCCAAAGGCCCAGTGGATAAACGCATTGGTTGAAGTAAATTCAGAAGTGACTTGACCTAAATCATTGTTAGTTCAATACCTGGCCACAGCAGAGGTGAACAAAACTTGAAGAGTTAAGTTACTAAAGGGAATTAACTGAAACTGAGACATCCAAAAAATGCATGGTACATGGAACTAGAACAATCTACCCCCCCATGGGCTAAGTAAAGGGTTCAGTTAAAAATTCCAACGTATACCACCTGAAGAAGGCTGGAGTGTACAACAGCCAAAACATTGTGGGTATGACAATAAAGATGAGGACAACAGTCCAAACAATGTAAGTAGTGTAAAAAAAATTATTAAAAATTTATTCAATATATTAATTGTGGCTGTGGCTAATTGCCAATGCTGCAAAATATCTATATTCATATTTATAACACTTTTTGTACTGCAAATGTTACTCTGATCCCAGACAGAATTGCCAATTTGTAAATTATAACTTTTGATGAATACTATAGAAGATAAAATAAAATTCAGCTTTAATAATGCATGAAGCACAGCATTTTCACTAGCTGTCTTTTTTAATACCATTGCAAGATAAAGGAAGTTAACACTGGTGTTTCCAAGTCCAAATAAGTGGTTAATTAAAAAGGAAATGGTGTTGTGTCAAGCTTCAAAATCATGGATCATGACCAACTTCAAAAACCATTTTTTTTTTTTTTTTTTTTTTTTTTTTTACCAGGACACCACTAACCACTGGGAATGCACAATATCTAATCCACTATACAGGTTGTCATATATATATATATATATATATATATATATATATATATATATATATATTTTGTATTTTGCAGATTAACATCCTAGCTTGATTTTAATTGATGTTTTGGTCATTAAGCTTTCGGATCAGTTTTTAGTGATGTATGAGATTAAAGGTTTAGTCATTTTATCACTAACCTGACTACACACACAATCCAGTGGTTTGTTCATACAAATTCCTTATAGATTTATTTAGATAACACTCATTCTGTATATTTTATTTATTTTACTTGTGGAAATATATAAATGAAAATACATTTTTCACACGACTTCAAACTTCTATTTATTTTAGATAGCCATCACGGATTAAGTTCTTATTCAATGGAACCTGTTTTCTTATTTCAGGGTGGATTTATGGTACTATATCACATGTTTTCAGATGAAAAATGAACATTCCGTTCACTGATAAACTAACTTAACCATAGGGTTAAACTTGCAAATGTTGCTTAAAAGTTATCTGGAAAATATGGAACATTATATATATTTGATATTTATATTACTGTCAATAAGTGTGTGATCAATGAAAAAACATTAGGTAAACCTAAATTCAGTTAATTTTGTTCCAGTTTTATATCTAAATTTTGTGTGAAGTTTCAATTATTAATTTTTATTTCAATTATATCCCAAAGTTTTTTGAGTTTTTTTCTGCTAGGGTCAATATGTCAATGAGTCAGAATATTGATTACATTGGCAAAAAAATCATTTTGCTTTCTCCATTTAGCAAATTCCAGAAACAGATACGGATTATAGCCTGTCATTCAGTTTTATAAGCATTCAAAAAGTGCTCTGTTGTTAGCAAAGTCACTCAACATTGCCAGTTTAAAAATAGAAAATGAGAAAAGGCATTTTTTTTTTCTTGATGCAATGCAAAATTTTACTATTTGCTAAGAGATATTTTATCATTTTACCATTTTTAAATAAAAAAAATTAATTTTGTTATAATTGCTTGAAAGTTGTCCAAAACTAAAATCCAGTAAACTGAAAAATAATAAATTGGATTTATCAATTTTTTTTTTTTTTTTTTTTAATAAACAGGAAAAGCTAGCTCATATCTGATATTAAAACAGGGAAATAAGTTTTGACAGAACATGGATAACTTGGAATTATTTAATTAAAGTAGGAAGTTGTATTTGTCTTGTATGATAATGTGAAGGAAAACTTCAAGGCTGGCTGTAATTATTAATCTCAGGATCAACAGTAAACATCAGTATTTACTCATCTGCTGTTTATGCAAACATAAACAAATTAACATTCAGATTAACATCACTACAATTTAGGAAGCCATTTTCTCCTTTGATGCAACATAAACTATAAAGTTTGCAGTTACTTTTGTCTCCAGTTTTTGAAGAATGATTGAACCAATTTATTTCCTCACTGATAATACAGACAAAAACTTTTTTCCCCCTCAGTGAAATCCACTTTTTTTTTTTTTTTGTTTATGTTAATTATTATTTAGCATTATCTGCCAGAAGTGTCAACGTGACCAATAAAAAAGAAAAAAAAAACTCATGTTATCTACTTCTATAACAATTTTGTTTCTGTTATTATGAATGCTAAACAGAACACTGTCATCATGAGAGGCGGAAAAAAAAACAACTATGTGGTGCTATATGACCCACATGTTGATGTGTTAACATACTTGTAGACATTAAAATTCCAAGAGTAAGAGGAGGAAACTAGGAATTTTCTTGAACATGTCAATATTACTTTGTTGTTAATTTTATACATCCATTGGAATCTTAACTTTTATGGCTGGCAACTAACATTTAAGTTGTTTTTGTTTCAAAAATGATGGTAACCATCTTGAAATATGCTTCTCTCTCTCTCAAATCCTTTGTTGAATTATTGACTCTCAACACTGCTTATTTCAGTGTCTTTGTTTGCATTTATTACCATTTTTGTGTGTGTGTAATTTTCTTTCTTAGGTCCATCTTCACTTGATACAATCTGAATTGTTTGAACATTGTCAGTGTTTTGTTTTTGTTTTTTTTCTCCCCAACATATGTTAGCATCTCAATATTTGATTATTCTTAATTCAACTTCTTGTTACTCAGCTTAGAAGGGAAACTACAAATTAAAAATACTTTCATAATGACATTTCACACAGATTTTAATGTCATTTAATTAAAGAATTTTCAAACATTTTGCTAACTTGAATTCATTTTAAGGTTTCTTCAAAAATTGTTAGGGTTTTTTCTCAGTTAAAAGAAAAATGGTCATATTTATGAGATTGAATAGTTGCCTACTTAATGATTGAATGACCACTTGAGAATTCTCTTTGCATTAAGCAAAAAACTTTATATATTTTTGCATAATATTATTTTTGATATTAGCCATGCATATTTAAAAAAAAAAAAAAAAAAAAAAGCAACTGTTATATATACTACATCAGAGGATTTTTTTTCTTTTTCTTTTAATGAAATTTAAAGGGAATTAATGGATGACTATGCATTCAAATTTTGGTTAGCATAAGTGTTTATAATAAAAACTTATACTGCTTGTTTTACTCTTTAAAGTGCTTTCATTAATAATGAGTTCAACAATTCTGTCAATTCTTTGAAAGTAAGTACTGTTTGAGAATTTCAAGTACTCTAAGTAAAATTCTTTCGTGTGAAAAAAATAGTTCCAAACTTTTTACTTGCGTTATTTAATGCCACTTTCAGTAGCTTTTAAATATTTGGTAATTATATGACCACTTTAGTGTTAAATGCTTGTGTAAAGACTTAACTGAGAAAGAAGAAACAGTAACAAAGAATGCTACAAAATTGGCGTAGCAACAAGTGATGGTCACACACACACACTGAAAAGTTCTCAGCTCCGCCCAATAACTAAATTTTAGAATTTTTTGGAAGGGATGGACTTCTTGATTAACCTGGAAATTTTTCAGCATCTCTCTCTCTCTCTCTCTCTATATATATATATATATATATATATATATATATATATATATATATATATATATATATTCTACCTTAAATGCCACCATATATATATTCCACCTTAAACTAGCTCCAATGGAGGGCTCTTAATTTGGCCTTCATCACAATAGGAGTAGATGTGATTGGCAACAAACTACAGAAGAGCTCTAAATTGATTGCTGCACTTAAGTATTGCATTAATATTTAAGCTTACCTTTTAAATGATAATTCTTCTGTCACCATTTAATTTAAAGGCAATTTGATGCACATAGTTCCTTACTTTCCATACAAACAATTATTTTTATTTCATGTGTGACTTTCACTGGATTTCACAATTAATTTTGATTATTTCTAAGTTCTAAAAATTATCATACAAAAAATTTCATCACAAAAAAAAATCATCAAAAACAATCACAGTAATGAAAACTTGTGAATCAAAAATTTCAGGATTTCAAGTTTGAATCCAGCCCGGAATGTTTTAATTTGCTCAGTCAGCCTGATTCCAAAATTGTATATGTTGAGATATGGCCTCCAGGAGTAAAGTTATAAAAGTATGACACACTGACATTCACACTTATTATATAGATTAGGCCTTTTGATTAAATTGAAGCATGAAGTGGAAGATTTTAAAGTCAGAATTTTGGGACATGTCTGTATCCTTTTTTAGTGAGATGAGAAATAAACAAAAAAGTGGGACTTGCTTTTCCAGGGAATATTGTTAGTTAGAGGGTTCCCTTTGGAAACTATATTCTCTGAATAAACCCAAATCCATGTTTAATCCTTTAACATGTGATTCTATTTTGAAAATGTATTTTAACTCCAATCTGAGTCTTGTTGACTTTTAAATGAAGCCACTAAAAGCACTCGTCTGATGTCATCAATACTATGCAACGGTTGGTTGAACTATATAGGGAAATTGTTGTTGTCTTTGATGTGTGGTTTTTTTTTTTTTTTTTTTTTTTCTCCAGAAAAAGTAAAGAATTGGAGTTGTATGCCAAATGGTGTTAGGGATGTGTGTAGGTGGGGGGGGCTGATGCCTAGTGTTGAGTGAATATCTTTCTAATTGTTTGGTCAGGTTTTACATACTGAAAATCTTTTAAGATATGATTATTAATTTGTTCATTTATGATACCAAATATTTAATCCTGTTTATTTTTGCTCATTCTAGCACCCCAAGAGATAAAAGCAAAATAAGAATCTATCTTGCATGTATGTATGCAAGCGAATGCATAAAAAATAAATCTTGTTCTTTAGCATTGTCACATATTACAAATAAACAAGCAACAGTCTTCATACTTGACATATCTAAATATTGATCTGCCAATATTTTTTTTGTTTTCTTTAATATTCAAATACTTTCTATTTAGGTTGAACAACGAGATGTACCAGGAATTGATAGCGCCTTCCTGGCTATGGATACGGAGGAGGGGATGGAGGTTGTCTGGAACGAAGTGCAGTTTTCAGAAAAGAAAAACTTTAAAGCTCAACAGGTAAGAAGTAGCAGAAACATGTCTAGAAGGCTTTGACCAGATAACTGAGCAGAGAATATATTGGCTTCTAATTCTCCTGAAACATGACTGTATTTTATAGATTATAAACTCTCCAAGGCTTTCATGTGTAGAGAAGAAAAAATTCTTTCTAACATATGAAAAGTTATTCTCTTCATAATAATACCAATCCAGTATAGATGATGAATTTGTTTTTATTACTGATTAAGCACCAAACCAGATGTGACAGTAATATTGACAAATGATAGACTTATAAATGTGTAAGAGTCTGGCAAGAAAAATATACAATGGAGTGAAATGGGGGGGGGTCAGTTTAATTTTAGCTTTTGAACCAAATTTTGTGAAAGATTTTAATTAAAAAATTTAATTTCTTTTTATTCATCGCTTTTTTTCTTTTTTTTTCCAGTTAATTTAGAATTGAAATCCATAAATATATCCATGTATATTGTTAATTCATTTTTTAAGTTCTCTTATCTTTGGACACACTTTTTAGGTACCTAAATCTTTAGATAAAAATCTTTTGTATTTTCTATAATTGTCTGTTCATATTTTAATACCTTGTATAAAAAAACAAAGGAACATTATGGTTTGCATTGTATTTTCTAATGTTGTCACAAAACGGGGAATCCATCCAGCTATCTATCAATTTATATATTTGTTTTTAAGTTATTGATCAGTTTTTTGCATTCAATACATGTGTGAAAGAAATCCATTTCTATAGTTTTTGGTTGGGAAAAAAATGGTCATGTTTACAAAAATGAAAGCTTTGTATATATTTATATACAAGAATATGAACAGTGATGAATATTTCTCAGTACAACTAAGATGCCCTTCCAGAAATACTGAATTATATTGTAACCCCCTTTTTCTTTGTGTGTGTGTTGGTTACCTTGCAGAACTCAAAAGCCATTGATCACACATTTGATTTTGGAGAAGTTTTAAAGTCATATTTTTTATATGAAAACATATTTTTACATTAAGTCCATTTTTTTTTTTTTTTTTTTTTTTAAATATTGCATTATTTATTTATAGGAAAAAATCCGGCAGGTATTTGATAATCTAATCCAGTTGGACCACCCAAATATTGTAAAATTTCACAAATATTGGACAGACGCTGCAGGGGAGAAGCCCCGTGTAAGTAATGAATATTTTTATTGCATGTGTACTTTTAATTATGCAGCAAGAATGTTTATTAATGTCATTTAAGGTTATTAATCACTGACATTGATATTTTTGTGTAATTCTCTTCCCATATAGAATGTTGAATATGTTTCCATTATGATATTGTACACATAATTTCATATTAGGAAAGGCTTTTGAAACCATGAAATACAAAAAAAATCATAATCTAATATCATGAGAAACAAGCTTTTTGAATAAATACAATTGTTTTATTTATGTTTTTATTTTTCTTCAGTTAAATATCTGAAGATTTTATTGTGAATTGAAAAAAAAATTTTAATAAAAGAAAACAGGGCTTAATATATATATATATATATATATATATATATATATATATATATATATATATGTATATTAAGAATTGTTATACAGATACACACTGATATTTGAAAGCCTTTGGACTAGACACTTTTGGGAATTCAGAATGGTAGTAGCAATACCATATATAAAGTAGATAATTAAGTCGATTGTTACCCATAAGAGAATGGGCAGTTTTTATAAGATTTCTTTTACAGTTTTTAAATTTAAAAAAAAAAAAAAAAATCACCAAAAAATGAACAAAAGTATCGATGAATAGCTGAGGCATGTCTGACTAGTTGTAATCTTTAAAGCCACCAGACCAATATTAAGTGAACAAAATGTCTATGGACAGCAGAAACACATCTGACTAGTAGGAACACTGAGATATAACTTGTGTGGTGTGGATTAAGACAAGGCCATTTTGAAATACCTTCCACTGTGCTATACAAAGCCTAGTGTGGTACATTAGAAGTAAAGTTAATGACATGACATATATTGGATTTTGTTTGATGCCATATATGTGCATTCTGGTATAGAAATATGGAAAATATATTCAGTTTTCAGTGATTTTTAGTTTTGGTTAACAGTAATTGTATATTTAAATGGATTCACTGTTTCGGGCTTTTTTTAATTCAATTCAGTTTTTTTCATCCAATAGATTAGTAAGAGGCATGTAGATATTTAAAGTTGTGATAAGATATTTTAGAATATTATTTTTAAAATAATTTGGAAGTAAAGTTTTTCTTTAGAATGTTGATTATTGCAAACATTCTTATGAAAGAAAATTTAGAGGTAACTAAAGATAAAAACACAAAGATTAGAAGCAAAGAATTATAAACCTAGAAAAGGCACAAGTATTGAAATATTGATATAGAAAAAATGTAAATAAGGGCACAAATGAACTGAAACAGAATTCTAAACTTAAACTTTATATTTCATTTTAAATAAGAGAATGTGAATGCTGTAACAACACAAGTCTTCATTTAGTATTTATATTGTATACAGCCAATTAAGAAACTTAAATTTGGCACAAAACTAGAATCTACTTTTTTAAAAAAAAATTTTTTTTTTAAATCTTGAGTATCCCTCTTTTAATCAAAGATCAACTTTAAAAGCTGATACTCCCAAACCACTGTCCAGAAAAATATAATACTGGATTTTATTACTGACTTAATTTTTCAAATACTTAAAGCAAGAACAAAAAGAAGCAAAATGAATCTGTTAATAAAATCCAGGACCTAGTATCATTATTTTTTTAATTTTTATTTCTGACTCAAATGTAAAAATTAGTGTTCATTTTAGCTTTTATTCCATTAATGGCAACAAAATTGGTAGTTGAGCTAAAGAAGTTATCCTCAGCAATTTAATAAACCTTTTTAAATTACTATATAAATCCACTTTTATTTCAACAAATGTATACATTCTTTCTTTCCAGGTAATTTTTATTACAGAATATATGTCGTCTGGTTCCTTAAAACAGTTTTTGAAAAAAACTAAAAAGAATAACAAGACATTCCCTTTAAAGGTAAGAAAGATTGAGACACCTGAAGCCTTGAAAATTGTAAAAAAATTTCTTATTTATCACTGAATCATCCCATATTGTTTGTAGCCAGTGCATGTTATTTTTATTACTCAACTGATTGCAGCAACTTTGATTATCACTTTGCTTATTTCCACATTTATATGATGTAACAAATTGCTTGTTTAGGAATCATTTCACATGTACTGACTTTACTATTGCATACAAGATTAATTTGTTGATATTTTTTGTTTAAATTATGATGGCTGTTGAAACACTGGTTTCCATTCGATCATCAATGTTAAGCAATGTTGAACCTAGGAATATGATGAATATAAAAATTCACATAGAAGTTTCTAATAGTTCTCAATATGTCAATGTTTTTGTTTTCATGCACATAATTCTCTTTCGATAAAAGCTAAGGAATGCATGCCTAGATGATTATCTATTCGTACTCTGGGCATAGAAATCTCACAAGCCAAAAACCTTTATTGTAACTTTTTCAAATTACAAATTAAGTTAATTACACTCATGACTTTGAATAATCATTCTGCTGACATTAATTACTTTATTTCTAAACATTTTATTTTAATTTTTGTTTAATAATAGTCTTTCTCTGCCCTCTAAAAATAATTTTATACTTCCTTCCATTCAGAAGTTCTAGGACAAAATATAAATTTAACCACAGTTGAAAGGGGAAATCCTAAAAAGAAGTTATTTGCTTTGTAACAAATACAGGGTGCGATGGGTAAATTGTCGTCATTATATATTTTTAATTTCACATGTGTGAGTTGTTTGCTTTTTGTTGACTGCACAATATAGTAGGGTCAGTTGGGCACCATTTGTGAGAAAAAGAGCACCATGACACAATTCTGTCCTCTAGAAATTTAGAAACTGCATGTGCTACTGCTTGATATTCATGCCGGAAGCTCCAATACAAACATTTCAGGGTTTTTGGGTGTCGATTTGAAACTGGTGCAGTGGATTTAGAAAGAGTTGGATGAGTCTAATGGCGATTACGAAAATATGGCAACTCAGAAAACTCTATCTGATTGTTCTGATAATAAAATTACTCCTGAATTTGTGGGTGAGGGTCAGACTCAACATGGAGGCTTACATCAAGTGCTTTGAGGAGATAGTGCTGCCCTGGGTCAAGAGGGTGGCTGCTGGAAGACCCTCTGTCTGGCAACAGAACTCTGCACCATGCCACACAAGCAGGAGAACCCAGTCATGGCTGTGAGATAATTTTTGCAACAACGTCACCCCTTTCATCTGGCCACCTAACTCCACAGGCTGCAACCCTCTTGATTATTGTGTGGGACACATTTGGGTGAGAGACCAACAAAACTCCTTGTAACACCAAAGATGAACTGAAGGCAAGTATTATGGCAGCATTCACCAATTTAAACAAAGAGACTGTCCAGAAGAGTTGCAGGAGATTCCGAAGTCATCTGGAGGCAGTGGTTGAAGCCAATGGCCATTTTATTGAATAAATTCACTCTAGTATTTCAAGAAATTTTTGTATAATTTTAGTAAATATATCTGTTAAAATGAGATGTCACTGTTATTTTAATTTTTTACATAAATTAAACAACACTTTATCTATCGCATTCTATAACTTTTATTGTAATATTTATTAATTAGTGAAAAAATATTTTAATAGGGTGTAAATACATCAGTTGTACTTATTTTTTATTCTCATTAAATTTTGGACAATTACAGAAATACCTGTTTAATAACAAAATGTCTTATAGATTAATTTCCCCTTGTTTGTTAGGTTTTTCATACTTTTTCAGCCATGTACATTCTTACCTTAGCTATGTCTTTCATTTTGGAACGTTGATATTTCCAGAACACAACCAACACCTGAGGAAGGCCTGTGATTTTTTTTTTTTTTTTTTTTTTTTTTACAAAAACGAGAATAGTCCAAACTAACAAGATAGAATGATTAAAAAAAACACTTTGACAACATTTAAACGAGAAAATATTTTGTATTATAAGGGGCGATAACTGGTAGTTGAAGCCTAAAATAAATTTATGTCGAAAAGTAGAGAATCCAGGAAAAATAGCTTTTTATGTACAAAAAGGATTTTGTTGTATTGCTTTCAAAGTAATACACCAAAAAGCCATTTGTAATTTCAGAAATGTGAAGTTAATTTTAACATTTGAGTTTTGTTTGCCTTGCTATATATTTATTTTTGTCTCTTTCTTTACAATCTTAACAAATATCTATATTGTATTTATTTTCCTTTTATGCATGTGTGTGAAACCCATTTTCATTAAGTAGAAATTGCAAAATTTATCAGAAAATCTTAAGTGTTTCTCTTTCTTTTTTTTTCTTTTTTTTTTTTTGTGAAGAAACAATTTCTCTTTAATCTTGTACATGTGCTTAACATGTTTATATGCCTAAACATATGCCTTGAAAATTCTTTTAAATGTATATTTACTATATAATATATATTTCTCTTGTATCATGAACAGCTGTCTCTCTTCAATTGTTGATCTTAAGAGTAGAAGAACAAGGAGAAAAATTTGACCTCTGAAGAGGATAATAACCATGAGTAAATTGACATTGAATTATTTTCCTCAATATTATATTTCCTATTTACCTTGCTCCTTGCATTGAAAAGTTTAATCAATAAATATTGTTCTATTATTTGCCTTTTTATCTAGTTTTACCCTGGAGATCTGTTTAGATGAAACTTAGGTAGGTTTGCCTGGCTCCTTAGGATTATTTTAGTTTTACATGTATAAGGCTAGGATGTGGTATCAAGCCTTGAATGGCAACCTTCCTAGAGATGTTGTCTTGATAAAAACACTTGGTGTACTTGGACTACCATGACTTGGGCAACAGGAGGAGCATCCACACCTGCAAAATCTTGTCTCAAATCATTAGAACCAGGGATTCTCTGTCAGGCAGCCCCCCCTTACTTTGTGTGAGATTAATTCCAATCCTGCCTCAAAAAAAAAAAAATGAAGCTATATATGTATATTTAATAATACAACAGGACATTAAGTTACACTATTTTAATTGGAGAAATTGTTTGGGGAATATCTTACAATTTGAAAAATTATTGAAATCTTAATTTCCTTTGTCATTTACATGAGCAAAACCTTTGTTCTCTTATTTACTTGCTTTATTCATACAATTTCTACTTTATTTCCCACAACCCAGTTTGTTTTGTATTCTTAGAATTTATTTCTGTTTTCACTCCTGAATGTTTGTCATCTTCTTTCTGCAGGTTGTGTTTTTTTTTTTTGTTTTTTTTTTTTATTATTATTATTATTTTGGCACTGTTTTGTTCTTTTTTCCTCCTCTTTTTCACCTCCATTCATTTCCTCATTCACTCACCTTTTTCATTCATCTTCCCATATTCTAGGGTCACAGTAAAAAAAAACAGGTAACATATCTTCCACATTTTTCATTTTATTCTCACAGCTATATCATTTGAGATGCATTCTGCTCTCTCTTTCTCTCTCTCTGTATTGAAAAGATAAAGTTAAAAGAAATTTCATAAAGCCAATAACAGAATGATTCATAAATAAAACAAAAAATAAATTTAAAAAAAAAGCAAAAAAAATTCAAAGACTAATATTTATACATTTTAATTTCTCCCTTCCAATGTAACTGTAAATGTCTAAGATAAAATTAAAAACTCAAAACTTCTCTCTCATAGCAATGAAATAATTTTCTCAGTTACTAATGGAATGCTATTTTCTTCCTGCATTTATTTTTTAATCCTTTTTTTATTTTATTTTTTACTAATCAGTAAGAAGATATTTTTCATTTCATCCAAATGTTTAGCTTTTTTACTTAAATGTTTTTAAATATATGTTAATAGAAGTAAAGATTTACAGCTTCCATTAAAAATTGATCCAACCTTAATAATAAATGCCTTTATTTCAACCTGTACTAAAAATGTGTGTGTGTGCGTGTGACAGCTTAATTGTATATGCATTTTTCATAAGAGTGTGTGTGTGTTAAGAAAAAAAGGATATAGAATTAAGGCGTTTGAAAATATTCAAGTATCACTTGTTTTTTTTTTTTTTTTTTTTTTACTAATTAATTTCGTAAGTGGTTGATTTTTGTGGTTACTTGGTTAATTGCTACAATAACTAAATGTCAACAAACTGATCAACCATATTGTAAAGTACATGTTAATAATAATAATAAACATATCTGTATTGTTTCCAAACAATTTTTGCATTTGATTTAAAAGATTAACTCTTTCCTGAATATCCATATGTCCTACCCTTCCTTTTCTGAAATAACAAATTCAAGCATCATCATCATCATTTTTTTTTTTTTTTTTTTTTTTTTTTTTCATTTATACATTTTCATCCCATCCACAATGCATCTCTTTTTTTTATTCCTTTTCCTTTTTGGTTTTTCTTCTGTTACTTATATTTTAAAACAAAAATGGCAATTAGCCAGTGTGAATAGTTATCTTCTTTGGCCAACAATATCCAATGCTTTTCATCTAACCATATCAAAGATAGTTTTTGTTATTTTGTTCATATTGAGTCGTATGCGCTCCAGTATATACTTGCCTTTAAAAATTCTGAGTGCATTTAAAAGTTAATTAATATATTAATATTTGTTTTCTCTTACTTATTTGTAAACTACAACAGCTATATAGACTATCATAATTTACTATGACCCTTTTACAAAGCACTTTAACATGTAGTTCTTTTGTTTTTGTTTTTTTAACCAACCAATTTTTACATCTAGATCCAGGTTGAGATCTATTTTAAGAGTCATTCTAATTTAAGTTTTTTAAGAATGTTATTGTTGGTTCTCATACAAAGGAGAATAACCACCTACACTAACTAATTGAAATCTTTTCTCTTTCTATCTCTTCCTCTCCTCCCTCTCTCCTTGCATGCTTACTAACAGCACGGGATTTTTTTTTCCTGGAGTGTTTGCCTTTTGTAAATGTAATTTGTCAATTTTGATTGTATTATCATCCAGAAATAATGCAATTGTTCTCAAATCTTAATATTTTGCAAACATAATCATACCCACTTTGCATTATCATATATCAATAATAGACATATATGACGATGGAGTTTAGTTCTCATAACTATATAATAGTGACTATGAAGCCTAGTACAGCTGGTATCTTCAGACTGTTTTCTTTCATTATTTTTAATGCCATATTGTTTTGATATGAAAGCAATAATGGTTCTCTCTCTCTCTCTCTCTCTCTCTCTCTCTCTCTCTCTCTCTCTCTCTCTCTCTCTCCTTTAAAATCTGAATTTTTCTTGAGAAAGATTATGGAGTGGTTTCCTGTTGCCTTCTCCATTGTTTTGAATTCAGATTGGTCCTTCTAGACTGGTTGCTAAAGAGCCCAGCCTACTCTCCTATTTTTCTCATGGCTGATTAAGAGATGGGTTTGTGTCTTTTTTCAAGGGTATTAGTGGGAACTGAATGCAACAGCCATAACCAAAATTTGAACTCACTTTACCAATTCCATTTACCATACAACTATTACATCACCTGCATGTTATTTTACTTGTTTGAACTGATGGTTTTATAGCATCAACTTAATCACTATTTTATGGACATATCTTAGGTGCCTATTAACGATTTCATAATAGGAAATGGTCTATTTATCAAAGTAAAGCATTATAACCACATATTTGTGTTTTGAACATCTGGTATATAAGAAATAAAAAACACTACTTAAATAACAGATATTTTTCACCTTAGTATAAACTTATTATTGGCTTTTAAAAAAAAGTCTGAATCAGAGAACATTAAAAAGAAGTTCTTGTTGATAAAGAATCATAACCTTCATGAGGAAAAAGGATACATAATTTCCAATTGGAACTGGTAGTCAGTATTTGAGCAAAGGTAAGAATTAAGATTTTAAATGTTTATTTTTCAAGCCCTCCTTTGTTTAAGATTAGTCACTTATGTGCTAATACCCTTGGAAAATGTATGAATCCTCTTCTTCTCCCCCCAGCTATGGATAATAGCAGGACAGACCGGGTTCTATAGCCTTGGATGGCAACTGACCTACTGCAGGAAAAAAATCTGTCTCGTCAGTCATGTATCGAAAGAAAGATCGCCTATCACGCATGGCACATAACTGACTATCATACAATTCCCGTGCCTTTATTTCCTCTTGACTTGGTTTACACTATATTTAATTTCTATGATATTGAGTTACCTCTCTTGGAATAATACTGCTTTATTATTGGATGAAAGTTTAAAATGCATACATTATATAATGCTGTAACTACTGCAGAAAATTTATTTCAATACTTCTGTAACTTTTTTTTTTTTTCATAATTTATTTTGAGCTTTAATTTTTTTTTTCTCTTGGTTATAATTAATTGGAGGATGATTAAATTATGCCAGCTTTATGATCTGCGTGTATATGTACAGGAATATATATATATATATGTCACAGATACATCAATAAGTCTGTCTCCTCATGATGAAAAAAACATTTATTTCACACAAGATATTTATTTTTGACATAATCTCTTTTCCTACCATTGCACTTGATTCAGTGGTGAATATTAATCAAATAGTTTGAACATTAATTTTTTTTTTTTTTTTTTTTTTTTTATCTGATATTTCTTATTAAAACAGGTATAGATTTGAAAAGTCCCAATGAGAGGTGTGCATTCCTTAAGTAGGTAATTGAGCCTTGCCTTATCATGAGTTACCTGTGGCCTAATTGGTAATGGCACACATCAGCTAGAGGAGTGGTTTCCCTGATGGAAAGTGGGAATGCAGGTTTGATTCCTATTAGGAAGCACATTTTTTCTTTAGTAGGACTTCTCGATCTAGGCCAGTTGACATAAATTTTACTATTTAAGAAAATAAAAGTAAAAAAAGGGTGTCAACTCACATGTGTATCCACTAAAAATATATAGTAATAAAAGATTGAACATTATACAGTGAACATGTAAGATCAAAATCCAACTAGTAACTACATCAGGCTACAGACTTATTGATCTAATTTCATAATACACAATAATTGTGTTAGAAAAAAAAATTTTTTTTCAAAATTAGTAACTGTTTTATTTTAGCTTTAATTTGGTGATCTTGTTCAGGTTTGTATACAAATGGCTTATTTAATCAATTTATGAATTTTTATTAGTCTTTATAAAATTGCAATTCAGTCCAACTCTAGTTAATATGATTTTGTAAGGAGTTATTATTTAATTGTTTAACTGTGCAAATTTTTTTAAAAGTTTCTTTTATTTAAAGGCATTGAATTTCTTGATATGTGCAAATATAAACTAGCCACTTTTAAGAACTTTTAAAATATTTTTTGCATCATTTATTTAAAAATGCAAATTCCAATTAAAAATGTCAAGTGAGGGTGACTTAATTTTTTATTTTTGTGAAAGAGCAAAGAAATTAGATTCATGTCTTAAAAGCAATAAAAGTAAGAAATTACAAAAATTGACATCAATGTATATTTTACCACCAACTTTTTTATTTATTTTTTTTTTTTTTTTTTTAGAAACATTTATTTCCTTTTATAATTTTTTTTTTCTGTATATCCTCATCTATGTGTCTGAGGTATTTAATAAACTATTAGGTTAAGTCATAAATAATATATCATCAAAACTAAATATTCCTTAAATAAATCCTAAAAGGTGATGAAAAATGGATTACATATGACAGTATTTGATACAAAAGGCAGTGGATTGACAAAGATAAATTGCTACAACTGACCCCAAAAGCTGAACTTTGTGTCATGTCGTACATGTGGGGAGTTTGTCAGGATCTTAATCATTTAGAGTTCTTAAAATACAATAAAACACTAAATGCATATTTATATGCTCAGCAGTTGGAATGTGTCCATGATAGTTTAGTCAAAAAGAATTCTGTATTCATCAACAGGAAAAAAAAGGTTGTTCTCCTCCCTGACAGCACAAGGCCACACACACCATAAATAAAGAACACAGGGGGAAATTTTGGAACTTGGTCTGATCTACTCCACCTGCCATATTCACTAACCAATTATTACTTTGTTTTTCAATTACTGAAACACTTTGATGGGAAAACCAGATATAAAAGTTTGTCAAAAACTATTTCAAATTAAAACCTGCTAAATTTGACTCAAAAGGTATGAAAGTTCTACCTAATAAGTGGTAATAAATCATTGCAAATAATGGTGAATATATAATTGAATAACTTTTCTTTTTTTTTTTTTTTTATAATAATGGAAATTATTTATGACTCAGCCTAATATAAATTAAAATGTTTCCCAACCCTCATGATTAATCTTTCAAAAATCCATTTTTTTTTCTAAGTTTACTCTCTATGGCCTTCCTTAAAAGTACTGAATTTCATGGTATGTGTATTTCCTTAAATTTTTATTTTTAATTATCATCTTTGCAGGCCTGGAAAAGATGGTGTACTCAGATTCTGTCTGCATTAAGGTAAGACAATTCTTTTTTTATTTTTCTAAATAATGAGAAGCATTTGCCACTTGCTGACAACAGTTCAGAGCTATAGTCTTCAGTCTCTTTTTCTCTATACTTTTCTTTTAAAAATCATGTGCAGGCATTTAAAAAGAAATCACTTATGCACCCAGATTTCACACACACACACCACTTTTTTTTCTTTTTTGCAGCTCATAAGGATTAACCATACAATAAATAAATAAATATATATATATATATATATATATATATATATATATATATATATCTCAGAAGATATGTGTCTGTGTGGGTGTATGCTATTTATGCACGTCCACATTTCTTGACCACATGTTACAAATTTACCAATGTAGGTCAAGACCAACTTTTCAATCTCCAGACCCCACCCATAATGGCTCTGGTTGAAAAATCGATAAAACTGAAGGTGGCTACAACTTTTTGCTAAACCCAAGACAAAGTTACACGTGAACAAAATTTTTACTGGATGAGCTGATGTTTTTTGCACTTAATGCAAAACACATGTTACGATGTTTATGTAGAGTGCTTGATAATTTTCCGGCGACATTGGCTTCACACAAAAATTACAAAAATCTAAACTGTTCAAAAAGCCCATTTTTTGGCCATAATTCTCTGGTTTTTCATCTGATGCTTTCCAAATTTGCCATGTAAATTACATATGACACACAAATTGTCTTGCATGAATGTTTGGTTTAGATTATTTCAGTTAACCAGATGAAATCTATGACAAACTAGGTCCAAAATCAGCTTTTGCCATTAAGCCAATAGTTTCTTATGATTCCATCCTAAATTGGCATTCAAACAATCTTTGATGCAAAGATTGCTTGAGAAGGATTATTGAAGCATTAAAAGGGAAAAATTCTAGAAGAACCTCTTATTAACCCCAGGTTTAGAGTAAACGTGTGAAGGAGTGGGGTGTTCATGTGTTTGCACTTGCAGTTGAATCAAGCTCTGATTTGCGAACAATGCCATACTATTTGGAAGTTATTTAGGGCCATAGGAAATTTACTGAATATCTAAAACATTGAAACAATTTAACCCCAAGCAACAACCACACAAGAATGTTTTGCCGATGAAATTCCATTATTAAGAACAATCAAACACTTTTGAAGGACATACTTTAAAAAAAAGATGGAGTGGGGTAGCTTAGTATACTAACAGATGATGCATTCAAACAGGGACACAGGCAGGCATTTCTAGACAGTGGTCTGAAGAGATGAATATATAGATATTCATGAAATAAATAATAACTGAAATGAATCTTTAAGGTTTTTGTTCTTGATTCTTATTATAATGCTCTGTAGTTTACATCCCTGGATTAATATCCTCTTAAAGAATTATCTCTACCACAAATTGATTTTATATATATATATATATATATATATAAGCAACTTTGAATTTGGACCAGTATTGATTTGATTAAATGATTCCTTAAGTTTTTTATGCTTAGGTCTAACAGGTAGTAAAGAAAGACATTTCAATGTAACTAAACTGGTATAATTAGAATTCTTGAAAACAGCATAAAAATAACATTAACTTCTTTTCATTTTTTTTTTCTTTTTTTCCTTAGGTGCTTAAACCACACTAGTTTCTTAGAGATAAGTTGCTTATCAAAAGTAATTGTATAGCTCACGTTACTGTGGCGGGAGCAGGTCTACTAATGATGATTTTTTTTTCTTTTTGTCATTCTATCTTTTGATGTCGCTTGCTTCTGGCACCCCTCCCCCCCCCACACACACACACCAGAATATATTAGATAAGACTAGAATGAATTATTTTCATTTCTCTTTTGTGAATGTATGGGTGGTGTAATGTATAGTGACTTTTGAGGACAAGGAAAATCCACAATTGACTTATTGGGAAATGAGCTTTGCCAAAAATATAGATAAGCAGTAATATATATGAGTATGCATTGTAATAAAGCATTCAGGTTTGGTTTGTGTCTTCCTTGGTATAACATCTTATTAGTGAGCTGTTTTAAAAATTTCAGTTTTTTTTTTTTTTTTTTTTTTTTTTTAGACACAGCTTGTCTGTGTGTGTAATGAATACAGACACAGTCTTTTTATGCCTCTTCTCATTTCTCTTCAATTTACCCTTTTACTGGTATTAGAAAATATATATACATATGCAAATGTACACATCCCTTAATAAAGTAGCATTTTTGGTACATATTGTTTAACCTTTAGCACACTGCATTATTAATATTACTTCCCTTTCTACTGCATTTTTTTTTTTTCAAGGCCTCTTAATTACAGTATCCTTATTGTTAATTTAACTCAAAGTTGTTTCTGTTGCCATAGCAGGATATGACAGCACAACTATGAAATTCAAATACACTATTATTGAGGGGGGTCAGTCATCTACAGTGGCAGTATAAACTTTTTGTACTGCAAATGAAGTTGCACACACTGATAAAAGTTAAAAACAAGATAAAAATTATAGAAATAAGATTTCTATATTAATAAAGAATATTTTTGTTGTTAAATTGATACATAGCCATTCTCTCTACTTAGGTTTGGGTATTTGCCTGACTTCTATTGTAAACTGAAAAAATCTAGTTTTAAATTGATTTATCTTCCATTTTTAGCAATTGAAGTTTCTTTTTTTTAAATTGAATGATTTTTTTTTTCTCTTCCCTCCAAATTCAGTTATCTACATTCCTGTGACCCTCCCATCATTCATGGTAACCTCACCTGTGATACAATATTCATTCAGCATAATGGTCTTGTAAAGATAGGTTCAGGTAAGCTATTTTTATTTGTGGAAAAAACTTTTTAACTGACACTTATTTTTTTTAATTCTACTTGCTAGAATCCTATATATATATATATATATATATATATATATATATATATATATATATATATATATATATATATGTAGTTTAATTAGTCTTATGTGTGCTTTTTGTCCAAGCTTATTGTTTATGTTGTATCTTCTATTTAATTTTTAGTAAAGATTTATGTAATAAATTGAAACACTAAATTTAAAAATTTAGTGATTAGTTTCACATACTACTCAACATGTCCAAGCATTTAATTTTTTTCATCTTGTTTGCTTTTGTTTTATAAATTATTTGAAATTGCTAACTTATACATTTCCCCAACCCACATACCATCATTTATTTTGATATGGCTTTTGCTCAAATTTATTGATTTTTTTTTTGTATCTTCTATTTGTTTTATGTGTATTATATATCAAAGTAATTTGTCTTTTTATTGATGAATTTATATATTAAAATGTGCTTTTTTATTTTTATTTTGCCTGTACTTTGATCGAAAATAAATATATATATATATATATATATATATATATATATATAATGAGGTACATTATGATATAAATAGTGTTGGATTGTGTAGTTTTGTTTATAATTTTCTTACATATTTCTCAAATTAATAAATACTTTCTCTTCTAAAATCTTGTGCAAATTTAGTAATTTTTTCTTACTTGTCCATGCATTACATTCTAAGATATTATATTTAAAACTTCAAGTATATTATCTTTTTAAATATAAAAACCTGTACTGAATTTAAAAAATTACAAATTAAGCTGGCATTTAATTCTTATGTAATTCTTATGGCTGTAATGGCTAATTCTTCCTAAATACCAGTTTAAGAAAAAAGAAAAGGAGGCACTCATCCACATTTTTATTTGTTATTCTCTCAAGATCAAAAATTTATTCCTGAATAAGTTGTTTTTTTTTTTCTTATTAAAATTTATCTGTGTTTTATATATATATATATATATATATAGTTTCTGTGACTTTAATCAAATTACTAATATTGTGGGAAAATTTTTACAATGTATCTACAAATTACTATAAAAATTAAAATCTCTGAGGGAAAAAAAAAAAACACTATTCTGAGATAAAATACAGTCTGTCATGCCAAGATTTGCCTTTAGGGAAATATTTAATTAATAATGAGTTTATTCTTTAATTTTCAAATTAGGTAATCTGAACTGTTAGCCATATATTTTGTGGATGATGCATATTCAGTCATTGTTCTCTTGTTGGAAGTCATAGCAAGCAAACTTTATAGCATAAAAAGTTTGCAACATATCTTATTACAACAAGATGGATTTCATAGTTATAATGCCTGATAGTTCCTGTGATAAAAGCCCATAGTAATTTTTTTTTTTTTTTTTTTTTTTTTTCATAAAAGTGATTTTGTGACTTGGTTGAATATGAATCCTCTGTTATGATTATACTTGACTTTTATTATTGTATATTCTACATTATATATTTTCAAAATAAAAATAAAAAATTTTATTCGGATTCATCTTGTATATAAAACTAAACTTCAGTCATTTTATAAACTTCATTAAAATCTTTCTTGTAGTTCCAGTCACTAAGGTCAACTGTGAGCAATGGTATTTTCTATGGATTTTTTTTTATTTAATTGTTTAGCTCAACTCACTTCAAAGTTATTCTCATGAAAATTTAATCCTTCAGAAAGTGTTTTTTTTGTTTTTTTGTTTTTTTTCAATTTCCAATTTGTCATATTCATAAATATAAATTCATTATTGTTTTCTTTTTCTTTTTTCCTATCACAAGTATATACATTTATATACAAGTCAGATTCCAAGACAAGATTTACTGACCTTTTATTTTATGAATTTTTAAAGCAACCATGTTATTATGTATACTTATGAAACTGCAGTATTTAAATATTTAAGTTACTCACAAATCCCCTATATAAGATATACTGGGTTTTGACTTGTTTAGAAACCTTGCTGAGTTTCAGCAAAGTAGTCTGATATTATTTTTATCTCAAGTGGTGATTTTTAAGATCGAATGGTGGCCATGGTAGCTTAAGTTTTCTTAACCTTATTGGGTAGAACTCTCTTTAAAATGACATGCTTAATTTAGTATATAATACAGGTAATTAACTTTTTTAAAAATCCTTAGATTTTCGAAGTTTAACCTGAAATTTTGAAAATGATATACAGTATCATGCAAAAGTCTTAGCCATTTTTAACTATTGTAAATTACTACTAATTGCCATTTTCTAAGTAGATTTTTAAAAAAAATTTTTTTTATGCTATCTACAGATGATACTTTGACCATATTGGAGTTATTTTCATGCCTAATTATCATATTTTTAGCAAGGGTTCTGAAGGATGATGCAAAATGACAAAATGACCCCCAGAAAAAAATATTGGTCACCTCATATAAACATAGATGTATTTTAAAACAACTCAAGATTGCCTGGATTCTGCTGCTGAATTCTACTTATTAGTTCTGTCAATATTTCATCCATAATGTATGTCAAAGCTCTAATCTAGTCAATCTTTCAATACAGTGACACATTCATCAGTTCATCTCTGTTATATGCAATTTTTGATATGGAGGTCTGTAATGTTAAAAAAAAAAAAAAATCACTCCTTCATCCATGTATGGTATCAAATGTTCTGTCAGTAACAGGAAACACACACACACACACACATATATATATATATATATATATATATATATATATATATATATATATATATATATGATAAAATAAAAGAACAATCAAAAATACACATAGAATTATCCATGGTTTTAATACATGACATATTTCTGACCAATGAGAACTGACCCAAACATAATTGAAAATATCAGTGTTTTCTGTCTTTTTGTGGTGTTTTCTCTCAATCTCTGACAAAGCTTTAATAAATGTTAGATTGATGTTTCCTATTTGTTCATTTATTTTATCACCCTGTCAGATTCTGATCCATATTTGAGCTACATCTTACGCATACAGAGAGTGCGATGGATAAATTGTCAAGTAAATTACACAAAAATGAAAATAACACTGACATCTCATTTTAACAGATATATTTATCGAAATTACACAAAAATATCTTAAAATGCTAAAGAGTAAATTTATTCAATAAAATCACCACTGGCTTCAACCACAGCCTCCTGATGACTTCGGAATCTCCTTTAACTCTTCTGGACAGTCTCCTTGATTAAGCTGGTCAATGCTGTCATAATCCTTGCCTTCAATTCATCTTTGGTGTGACAAGGAGTTTTATTGTCTCTCGCTCAACTGCGCCCCACACATGATAATCAAGGGAGTTGCAGTCTGGGCATGGCCAGATGTAAGGGGTGATGTGGTGGCAGAAATTGTCTGACAGCCATGACTGGTGTCTTCTGCTTGTGTGGAATGGTGCAGTGTCCTGTTGCCAGATATAGGATCTTTCTGTAGCCAGCCTCTTCATCCAGAGCAGCACTACGTTCTCAAGGCAGTTGATTTAGACCTCTGTATTTAACCTGAGGCCCTCATCAACAAATTTGGGAATTCTTTTCTAATCAGAATAATCATAGTGAGTTTTCTGAGCTGCTGTAACTTTTGTAATTACTATTAGACTCATCCAACTTTTTCCAAATCCTCTGCACTGTCCTCAGATTGACACCCAAATGGTCTGAAAAATTTGTATTGGAGGTTTCAGCATGAATACCAAGCAGTACAGCATGCCATTTCCAACTTTCTGGTGGAGTGAACTGTGTCATGGTGCTTTTTTTCTCACAGATGGTGCCCAACTGACCCTACTATACTGTGCAGTCAACAAAATCAAAAACAAACACTGTGCATGCACAAAATTAAAAATGTAAAATGATGACCCATCACTGTGTGTATGTGTATTTATATATATATATATATATATATATATATATATATATATATATATAACTCTAGGCTATCATCAGTTTTAACCAATTTTCTTTAACCATCCCTTTTTATACAGCCCTTACCCTCAAAACTTCACTGTTTTTATTGTAACCTGGGTCATTTCACTTTCCTGTTGGCCTGACAAATCCACACTTTTTAGAATGAATCTCCATTTTTGTTTCATTGCTGAATGTGATCTTATCCCAAGCATCTGCATCCTACAGTTCATACCACTTTGACCAACTTAGTGTTGCCTTCAAATGCTTTTTGATTAAAGCTGGTTTCTTCATTGAGTCTCTTTAGTCCATGTTCTTGAATAATGCACTTAGTGAATGTTATCTACTGACACCAAATTTAACAAGTCACACTCAATTCATCACTTGGCTATCAGTCAACTTTCACTGAGCTTTTTGTTTTTCTGATCAGTTTCTATATTATCCTATGCTGCAGCTTTCAAAGGCAACCATAATTTGATTGATTCAAAACACTTCCAGTGCTTTGAGACTTCAAGAGGATTTCTGAAATGCTACTGCTCGACATTCCAAGTTTCTTTGCGATTACTTGCTGGTTCATATTCCTGAACATATTCACTATCTTCATCCTGGTTTCTTTGGAAATTGTCAAGTAAAGAAAGCCTGTAGGAATACAATACCAAAATTTACCCTATATTTAGGAAAAATTAGTCCTGTTTAAAAAAATAATTGCTGTTTATCAGTGGAAATGTCAGGTGGCTGAATAATTTTGTAAGGTTATTTTTGGGTATCATCTCACATTTTCTCTCCTCATTCAGAACCCTTGCTAAAAAATATAATTAATGATTCCAATATAGCCAAAGTTGCATCTGTAGACAGCACAAAAAAAAACAACCACTTATAAGATGGCAATTATTAGAAATTTACAATAGTTTAAAATGGCCTAAGACTTTTGCACAGTACTGTATAGGATACTAACATTGGTTGTAAATGACAAATAGTGCTTGATTTTCTCTTTATGAATTTTAATCATACAAGACAAAATCTCTTTTAATTATATGTATGACTATAAATTAGTGAATGTAATGTCCATTTTGTTTTTTTAGAATTTATATATTTAATGAACTTCATGGTAAAATATGCAATAATTGTTACTAAATTTTTTAAAATGATCATGAATTAAGAAACCAATTAGAAAAGGATTATCTGAAAAGAATATAAAAAATACAAGATAAATGAAAGAAATTCTTATTAGTGTTTGCATTCTTTAATATGATAGAAATTTTCATTTTTGTCTTTTTTCTAAATCAGAATATAACTACCATTTATGTTGATAGTTAAACAAAATCTTAATATAAATGTATAATTGAATAGTTTGTCAAAGGTAGCTGACCATAAAACATGATTGCTAAAATTCTGACATTACAATCCACTTATTACAAGTTCCTAGGAAATGCAAAAGCTTGTATTCCTTTGTATAATACAAAGGAATACAAGCTTTTGCATTTCGTTTTTCTTTTTTCCTCTTGTCTTGACTCAAATTTATTATGATACACATTAGTATTTAGTTTATGGTTTAACATTTTCAGCTGCTTAAATCTAGAAAAATTCTAGTTATATAATTTTCTTTTAGACTTTTTAGTAAAAAAAAATGCCCATCACCTGAAATTTGTTCGAGGGACATAATTTGGAAGGCTTGAAGTAACATTTAATTTTAAATAAGCTTTTACAACAATTAAGTGCATTCCTTTTTACACACACACACACACACTGTATGCATTATGAATTAACTCTTGATGACTTCTTAAACTTTAGATATGAAAAATATGATAGTACATGCTGTTGAAGATGAGGCAATTTATTTTCTTATAAGAAATTGATGTTTGGCATTTTTCTTACTCTTTAGAACTCGAAGTATTTTTTAACTCTGGTTCTACATGTCACATCTAGAATTTTTATTAGATGGCTTATTGTTAACTATTATTTTTCACTAGGATTTCTTTCATTTTAATTGTAATGAAAAGCACCTAAAATTAAGATGAAAGAAATACTAGTAAAAAAAAAAATTAATGTCATATCTGCTATATTCTATATCTGCTATATTCTATATAACAAATGTACCTTTCTGGGTGGAGTTTAGTATGGAGTGAATGGGAAAGTCATATTGTTTGTGAATTTATCCTGAACTGGGAAATTAGTGCTATACTGTTTCTACAAAAATAATATTACCTGCTCTTATATTTAACCATTTAAATTTAATATTTGTTTAAGTTTATTACAGTTTTAATAATTCAATATGTTTCATTTGTGTATTATCATCATCATAATCATAACCTTTGTTGGTCTGGTAAAATGGATAATCCAGCAAAGTTCTAGAATCATATTTACCAGAAAATCGTGTGTCAGATATATAATCTTTTAAATTGTTGCAAGAAACCTATGTATCTTAACTCCTCTGTTAAGCTTAGAATCAGTTAATGTAATGACAATTTATAAAGGAAGATTTTATTTCATAAAATAGATTTTAAGACAAAAAAATTTTAAAGTTTGATTTAAAAGCAATGTTTCTGTTTCCACCCATCCTTTCCTCCTCTTTAACACTGATTTTTTTTTTTTTTTTTTTTTTTTTTTATTTATCAAGTGATTTTTTTTTTGTAAATTACTAATGATCTTACTTGACTGCATATATTGTTTTCTCATTGCCTTCTTCCACTCTTTAATAGTTTCTTTGTAGAATGATATAAACACGATCCCAGCAGATTTGTTGATACTTTTCATGCTGAATAATTTTTATTTTCAACATCATTTGAAAATATTCTATGTTGAATGTGCAATTAAGATGATAATTGTTCTATACTGGTAAAAGCTAACTTTTATAAGATGTTAGAATAAATGATTAGCCTTACACATTCCTGTTTGTAAAAAATATTTAGTTTCAATTTCTTTAAAATATTTTGAAATAAATCTTTGTAAACTTCTGAGTGAAAAAAAAAATATGAATGTTTTGTTTTTTTTTCTTTTTACAGTGATTCATTGCTAATATGTTTTACTTAAACTTTTACCCATGTGAATATTTGCAGTCTTATAGCATTTCCATAATTTCCATGCTTATTAAAATTTGTTGTTTAATAGACAGCAAATTTTAATGAGCATGCCCATCAATTTTGAAAATTACAATGAGGTTTTATATATTTTAATAACCAGGTTTATATGTTAGTCATAAAACATTTTCACTTTATATTTTCATCACAAATATTTTTTCTTACTATCTTGAAGGCTATTAATGTTATATTTTAAATTGTACCTATCCACAATCTAAGATCTGACTTTAAAAAATGCTTTCTTTCTTTATTTTTATTGGCCTGCAAGCCACTATCTTTGGAAAGCTGCTTTGGACTATCATGAAACTGTTTCCTTTTCAACAGATGCTGGAATTCTTTACCAACTGGAATCTAAAACTGGTATCATCACTTGCACCTTCTACCTACTACTACTATAACTACTACCTACTTACTACATCCTGTTTCTTTTTTTTTTTTTTTTTTTTTTAATTGAGCAAGCTGATTGATTTTATTAGCACAAGCAATGTGCCCCTTCTCCCGCTCTGCCGGCCAAATGCCCGCCCGCTGCTAATATTCTGCTCCTCCTCCTCCTCCAGTCTTGCTATTGACAAAACCCAAAAATGTTCAGCAACTAACTAGTGTTGGTTGGTTCTTTCCCCTCTTTCTTTTCTTTCTGTTCCTATTTGCCATGAGTTTTGACCTACAGTCTCAAGCAAATATTTAGGGTACACAGTGTCAAGGGCATTAAAATTATTTAACTTAAAATTGTGATTCTGGATTTAATCCAAGATTTAAACAGATAAATGTTTTAGATACTTGCATGTAATTTAGTAAAATGAGGATTTAAATTATTTTAGCTTCATTTCAAAACACTGAATTCACATTTTATTGCCAAATGTAACATGTTTCAGTTGAAAAAAACCCTGAAAAGCTGTTGTTCTTTAAGAGGAAATGAAGTATTCTCTCCTACTTGAGAGTATGCTGCTGTGGTATGCAAGAAATTTATAAAAGATATTATCAAAGGTAAGGAATTTGCAAATAGATCAAATGAGTTGAAAAGGCAAATTAGCTCAATGAGAGAAAAGAAAAATCAGCATCAAAGAAACACTCAAAAATTACTTGAATTTATCAGAATTTTGTGGATATATATATATATATACACACACTATCAAATGTTGCCCACAACAAAACAATTTATTTGGTTGAATTTCAGCTAGAAAACCAAAGTTGACATCAAAACAAATGAAATACAGAAAAATGCAGTGTGCTTCCAAAGGTGAATGCATATCCTCAATCTGGAAAAACGTTGTTTTCTCAGACAAATGTCAAATTGAACTTTTCCAAGTATGAGGTAATATGTAAGAATCCTTAATGTATATGTAAGACATTCTAATTAATTATTTAGTGAAAAATATGCGGAGAAAGCTGTAAAATACTAGGTGGCATTTACAGTATGAAGAACAATTTGAGGAAATGAAAAAAGTATAATCATTTTCTGAAATGGAAATTCAAAAGAATATATATATATATATATATATATATATATATACTCAATGAAAGTATACACCCAAATATATAAAATTTCATTCATTTTTCAGTATGAGAGCACGAAGTGACATACTTTGGAGTCAACTATAAATTATTTAATAGAAAAGGATATCATACATTCTAAAAATTGGTCGAGCCTGTCTCCTGACTTAAATATAGAAAATTGTTGTAATATACTAAAGGGAAAAGCAAAAGATAAACGTCCAAAGACTGTTGATCAGCTTTGAGACCATGAAAACTGAGTTGGCAAATATTGATCATTCTTTTATTTTGAATGTACATTTCTCATTACCAAAAATAATTTTGTCCGTTTTAAATAATAAAGAAGCTAGTGCAACATATTAAGTAATTTTTATAATTATGGGTATATTTTTTTTTTTTTTTTTTTTTTTTTTTTTTAAACTTGTTTTACATTATTTTCAATTTCTTATTATAAACTGTCTAAAATATTTGTTTGCTGAAACTTTTCTAGTTCTTGTTTTTATATATCCTATGAAGTCAAAACTCATCACACAAAACATTTTTCCACTTTGTCATACTTCTTTTCCCTAAAATAGTTCTTGCTAAAATTTAACATTCAAAATATATAGCAAAGTTTTTGATTAATATTTCCTTGGACCTTTTTTTTTTTTTTTTTTTTTTTTTTTGAATTAAATGTTGATACACAGTTTTGTTGTATAATTTTAATACACTTGACACTGTGTACCTGAAATGTTTTCTAAGGACTTAAATGGCCTATAAAGTCTCTTTGAGCTTACCTACTCTTTTCTGTTTTTTTTTTTTTTTCTCTCTCTCTTGTGCGTGTTTATGGTTTTATTTGTAATCTCTTTCCATCGTCTGTAATTGTTGTTTAGTTTATAATTTGGGCAATTCTTAGGAGGTTAAAACTACATAACAATTGCAAAGGATGAAAATTCAGGGATTACTTTTAAAAACCTGTTGATTTTTTTTTTTTTTTTACAGTAAAGATAATTAGATGGGTTCAAAGAAAATTTCTGGAAATGTTTTGATTTCTCATCAAAAAAAAAATACTATGATCTTTCACAATCAGTAGCACTCTTTTGTCTCTTTAATAGATATTCTTTTTACTGCATGCTTGCAGAAATGGCTGCAGTCTCTATCTGCACAAAATGCTAAGCTCCTGAACGTTTGTTCAACACTACATTTCTACTCTTCTGTAGATTGTTCTTGTCAGCTCCTCATGTTCTGTGTACATAGTTGTCAAGACTACTATGACCACTTTGTCTGTGAGAGTGAGACATTTGGCTTTGTACAGTATAAAAGTAATACAATTGAATCTTTCTAATTGGAACCTTTTTAGGCAGTACGATGTCCAGAATATAAGCCAAGAATGATTCATAAAATAATTACATTAATGAGGAATAGTTAAATTAATTTTATTTGTTTTTGTTTTGTTTTTTTTCTCACTACCCAACTTTGAATAAACTTTTCCCTTTTTCTTTTTTTTCTTTTGTGTTTTTTTTTTTTTTTTAATAGATATTTTTGCATTTCCCACATATGCGTGCTGAACATATTCTGAAACTGTATACTTCGGGATTTCATTTTCTTGAAATGAATGTTTTCACATTTACTTATGCATTTTCAAAAGGTTTCTTTGATCAATGACCCCTTTTAAAAGAAAAAAAATTGGGCCAGTGGTAGATAAGGTGAAAATTTATTAAGCTTGTATATTTCAAAACAAATTTGCCGTTTTTTTTTTTTTTTTTTTTTTTTTTTTTATAACTCATATCAATTTTATTTTTTGTAACAATTTACCTTTTTGTTCAGCTATTGAATTTTTTGATATCAATCATTTCTTTAGTTATTTACTTTCAGACATTTGTATTTGTGTGCTTTAAATATAGAGCTGGACAAATTTCTAATTATAGTAGCTCCCTAAAAAAAACTAATTTCAATATATTCGTTTTCTTTTTCTTCCACTGCTTTCTACAAAACAACATACCATCTGGACTACAGTGGTCCATCTGGAAGGTCAGCTGTATTGTCACTCTTACCCTCTTTCAAGATATAAGAAATGATGCATTTTCTGCTTTGTCTTTTCATTTATAAAGGGCAACAGTTTTGTCAGTATTAAATTTTCTTAACACAAAAGATAAATTGTTCAATATAATATGTACCAATATGTCAGAAAAATATATTCTAGCAGACAGTATTCCCTAACTTAACCATTGATATCTTATTATTGTTCTTTGATATAAAACTTTATATTGTCTTTTTTTTTTTCCTCCCTTTTTGGCAGGGATAAGTTTCATAAGATTAGTGTTATATGATAAAACAATTTTCTATATCATTAACACTAAATTATACCTAAAAAATATATGCGGCAAAATTATCCATGCATTTTACTTTTTCTTGATGGTATACAACCTATTGAGAAAATTATGATGGTAACTAGCAGTTTTAAATATTTTATTATATTTTTTTAATTATCCTAATTATTGTCTATACAATATTTTAATTGCTCCTTATTTGCCACAAAAAGTATTTCTTTGTAACAACAGAAATAAGTGTTTAAAAGTTTAATATTTATAAGTTATCCCATAATTATAGAGGGTTTACAGCCACATTATGTTGAAACATTGGTTCCCGTACAATCACCAAAGTTAAGCAATGTTAAACTTTGTTAGTACCTAGATGGGTGACTGCTTGGGAAGACCAGGTGCTGTAAGCATGGATATGGAATTGGTGTGATGGGTAATGGCTCAAAATTGTTAAATGGAAAGCAGAGTTCCAATTCCCATTGGGTTCATTATAAAGAAAGGTATAATCCAGCTCTTCTTCCCCCAGCTTTGGGTTAATTAGTAAGACTTGTAATACTAAACCATTATTATGAATCAAGGCCAAAGGTGTTAGGTACCCGGTTAGGATTAAATTCACTACAATAGTAACAGCTTACTATTACCATAATGAGCCACTCAGAGTATATTGTAGATTTGTTTTTGTGTTGGATTGGCAGGCAGACAATTTTGCTTAGATTGCTTTTATGAATGGAAGAAGTACCCAAATGCACCTGAAAGTTTCACATGCTTACAATCCATGGGTGCTTGAATGTGCCTGCAATTGAGTAGCACTGTATTTCAATACACAGTGTTGTCACCTGTCACATGATCAGCTAGAGGCACTGGAAATCTACTAGTTTTTTTGGTTTTTTTTCCAAAGTTTTAGATTTCCCAAATCATATCGGAGGAGTTTGGTTTTAACCCTGTGTTAGTCACCTTGGATTTCTGAAAATGGATAGTCCCCTAGCATCTGCTACCCACAACTGAGCTACAACCGCGCCACACAGTGTGCTACACACCCTCACTGAGTCAACAGCATAGTGGGAGGGAGCAAAAGAAACAACTTACCAATTAAGAATTGCAAGTACTTTAAAAGTTTTAGGGTAACAAAACACCCTATGTGACTAATGCAGGGTTAACGATATTGACACTGCAGCTTTTTGAATGAATGAGTTGTAATATTTTTTAGGTTAAAAATCTTGGCTATAATAAAATACATTTGCATTTTGTTTTGATATTCTCTGAACTAAAGAATTTCTTGTTGACTCAAACATGTAAAGGAGATTGAAGTAACTGTTTACATTGTTTAGACTGTTGTCTTTATCATATTCACAATGTTTCAGCTGTTGTATACTCTGGCCTTCTTCAGGTGATATATGCTGGAATTTTGGACCAAACCCTTTATTTCATCCAATAGAGCAGATTGTTCTAGCTCCATGTGCCATGCCTGTTCTGGATATCTCAGTTTCGGTTATTTCCCTTTAGTAACTCAAGTTTTTGTTCACCTCTACTGTGGCCAGGTATTGAACTCACAGCTGTTCGGGACAAGACATTGGATTACTTCAACCAATGCTTTTATCCACTGGGCCATGTGTCCTTGGGGATTGTATAAGGTTGGAGCGTACAATGGCTGAAACATTATGAATATGACAATAAAGATGAGGACAATAGTTCAAACAATGTAAATAGTGTAAATAGTTACAATACTTCATCCCAGATATATAGACAGAGATTGAAGTAATTCATCTATTAGCATGTTATTGGGGTGGGGAATTATAATATTTTCTTTATCTACTATGATAAGTTGATGAATGATTCCCCGCTATCACATCACACATATGCATAGTGTGCACACACACACAATTTCTGAATTTATATTTTACCCTTGTTTGAAAATTATTTATTTGTAGATTTCTTTCATGCTAATAAAAAGTAACTGTTTATTTAACTGTAATGTTTTAATTTCATGGAACCCCAAAAGTTGAAATCTCATGTTTATTGTAATTTTATTCATTACCACTTTTTTCTGTGTGTGATCCATTTATGTCTGTTGTATGTTCTGGCCTTCTTCTAGTGATATACGCTGGATATGTATAGGAAAAGTCAGAATAATTATTTATGATAGATGCTCATTCACAAAGCACATTTATTCTAAAACCAACTGTCTTCATGTAATAACTCTCTTCATTTTGCACTTAAATGATGGCTGTATAAAACCTGTGAAGATAACTCACTAGAATAAAATCAGATAAAACATAGATAAATATTATGCTATAGGTATTATGTATGGTAAATAACTAAATGTTCCATCAATGTATTTCAATATTTACATTGATTTTAATTGAGAAAAGGTTAGAGATTCTCTCTTTAGATATCACTTAACAAAATATGTGAATTTATATATCTATGTTAATATTTAAAAAAAAAAAAAAACACACACACACACACTTATATTGGGAGATCTAGTGTTTGGTTCTTTACATACAAGCAAAAAAGTCAAAACAATTTCTGCTTAAGTTAGTTTACAAGATTTTACTAGTTTGAAAAAATACTTATATTTTATACATTATGGTAGTTTGAATTAAGTAAGTCTTATTTCTTATCTTCCACTTGACACTCTCGGCAATCAAGCAACTGGCAAAAATCCTTAATGGGAGTTAATCTTGAGTGACAAAAGTTCTCCAAACCACTGGCTAGAGAGAAAAAACATTGGATTTTATAGATCTCCACTGGATGATTATATTCCAGCAAATAGGAGCAACATCTCCTTTAAAAGTTGAAGTGTCTAGTTGATTGACTGAAGGTTGTAAGCTCATTTACTGGGCTGGGCAGTAAATTTTATTTTTCTCTTTAACTACAGTTATTAAAATTATAAGTCTTAAAGAGTTCCATACAATATTTGAAAAAAGTTGAAATCTTAATTTTCTGTTACTTTAATAATTAAGAAAATAGATTCTGAAAATTCCATTTTTTTTTCTCAATATTTTGTCCCCATTGTCATTAATTTTCAAATAGTTTGTTTTCTTAGGCTGTTAAATTATAATATGCTTCTCAATTTATTTCTCAAGTAGTAAAAAAACACAAAAAAAAAAACAAACAAACAAACAAACAAACCAACAACAATGTTACTGCTTGTTAACAATGGTATAGATGCAAACATTAACTGAGTTTATAAATTATTATAGCTGACAAAATATTTTGATTCAAATAAAAAGTACTTAAATAGTCGTAAGTGAAATCTGAACCTCAACGGACAACATTTGAAAGTTTCAAATCTCAAACCTTATCAAATCTTTTGCCCATTCTCCATTTTAAACTCATGATAAAATCTTTTTTCAGGATTCTTAAAATTATGTCTCTGTCTTTCATTTGTTTTTATATTGAGTTTTTGTCTTAAAATATTTTTTACTCATGGCTGTCAGCATTCTTTATTTGATGCATGTATGTGTATACTAAAATATTTAAAAAAAAAAAAAAAAAATGAACTATTTTTTGCAGGGCATCTTGTTTTATTCAAGAGATGTTACTTTGTTTCACTGTTTTATCTTTTGTCTTTTATGATCAGATATGATTGTAAGAAATATTACTGGGATTATTTCTGTTATTAATCAGGATTATACTTTGTTATCATTTAAAAATGGTTTGAGATGCTGACCATATCTTTTGCCATTACCTTTGTTTCTATCTTCTTTATTTTCCCTTTAGAAAAATGAAAGATTAACTTTGCAATGAATTTTCCACAACCTGATTCTTCAAAGCCTCTTAGTGTCTTCTGTATTATATATATATATATATATATATATATAAATGTTAGCTGTCCCTATGTAAAGTGTTGTTTCTTACACTGGTTTTAATTCTTCTTTCTTTTGCAAGAATTTAATTGAACCCCTGCAAGCAACAGCTATAAACCCTCACAGCCTTTGGTTACCTGCTTTAATCACTGAGCTACAGCATAGTTCATGAGGTGAAATGCTTCAGTAACAGTTTGTGCATATATCAAAGTTATAGTTATATCAATAATAATGGTCTTTTGCCAGTTAGTCTATTTAATTAAGTCTAAAATCGAAATTACATTAGTTCATTGCTAAAGGAAACTGTTATAATGTAAAAGAAACGGCATCATTTTCTTTCATGTTTTGGTATTTTCTCTCGGATTTTTGTTGTTAGAAACACTAAATAGCTATCAACGCCATATTTTACTAAGCAGAAAAATAGTCTATAATAACTTTCAGGACTTTGCAACAAGTCTGTTTTTTCCACGCAGATTATTACAATTTACACACAAGCCAGTTCCTTTGGCTTAAATATTAACTTCCATAATAGATATCTAAGTATTGTTGTAATTTTGTAATTTTATACATACTAACTCCCATGTCAGTCTCTGTTTCTGTATTTGAAATACAGATCTATATCACATTGTTATGTTACAATATCTCCAACATTTTAATAAAAAAAATGGTTTTCTAATGGTTCTAGAGTTTTCAGGGTAAAAGAGTACTGGGAACTTTTGCACACATTGAAATATAAGAATGTAATTATAATTTAGAAACACTTTTGAAAGAAAAGTATATTCTTTCTGATAAGAGAAGTGTTTTATTTTTATCTTTTTATATTGAACTGACAATGGAAAGTTTTACTTTTTATCTCTTGGAAATTTTTTAAGTTTGATCTTATTTCTTTGAAGCCATCTTATTGCATGCAGTTATGTTGTTTACCCTGACAGAATGTCTTTATTTTGAAAACAATTTTTTTCTTTTACTTCCTCCAGATATTTGTTCACAATTCTCTTAAATCTCTTTTTAATATCTGTTTCTTTCTATAGCCTGACAGTCACACCTGCCACTACAATTTTCACCAGGACCTTTCAGGCTTTTGGGGATATTGGAAGGACATTTAGAATTTATGCATTAATTTTTCCTTCCTTATTTCTAGCAGCAGTTTTCTCCATTTTTCATTTATTTTTTTTCTTTTCTTCCATTTCTTCTCTGTTAAAAGGAGATGATCTTTTGAATGATCAACTTGTGCTCATTCCATAACTAAAATTTGGGGATACTGCTTCACAATCTTGTAGGTGTGTATTTAGTTTATTTTCACTGTTTTTATTATAAAAGTAAACCAAGTAACTTTATTAGTATGCTAGAAATTAATCTTTTTAATTTTCTACCAGATTCTGACCTTGTAAGGTTTTAACACGGAAACAATTTAATGATCGCTTCCAATATCTTGTTTATCCTTTTTCTTGATATGATGCCTTTCAGGATGATCTTAGCAATTTCTTTTGACGTTATCTGTGGGTAATAAAACCACAAAAGATTTTTCTTCATCTCTTCTTTAAACATTCTCCTCACTTCCAAGATAGTCTTTGAAAATTGTTTAATCTTATTTCATAA